CAGAAAAAAAAGAAAAAAAAGGAGCCACAAGTCGTTTAACATTATAAACCCAAAGTCGTTTACAAGTACTCTAATTTGCTAATTCTTATTTAAGCATTTTGTCCTGATGGTAATTGGGTTTATAGACTATATGATGTTCCTGCTACTCTATGGTTTTGCCGCTTCTCGAATTAGGAGTGGTTTCATTGATCAGGGAGGGAAATAAGGTTGAGATATATGTCATTTTGTACGCGTGTGTCATTAAGTTCATATCACTTTCTACGAGTATGTCATAATTCGAAAATCAGCGGCATTCTGCATTGTAATTGGTATTGCAGGAGTAGCTGGTCTCGGTGGTTAGATATGAGCTTTCTAGTTGCATGTGTGGATGCTCGAGAATGCTTGTGATAGCGCAGATTAAGTGACGTCGATAGTGATATTGCTTGTATATAGGTTCACACATTCTTCAATACGGTCACTGGCGGATCAGTGTTCTCAAAAGCCTAGGCCAGCAAGCAATCACAACGTTTGTGCTACAGATGAAAGCCCTGCCCCTCAACTCCTCAAAACATATACAAAAAGTGGCTTTGTGACTCTGGGTCACGTGACTCGTGTCAGTGAAATAACGCACATTAAACTAGACTATCACAATCGGGCCATCTCTAGCTTCAATCTATAGATGGTTTGGCTTAACCAGCGTTAAACTGATCATCATCGGGCTTCAGATTGTGTCAAGGAAAGATACACTCATATTTGTTGTGAATGCCTCATTACAGTAAACGGTCCTGTATTTGCAGCTAGGTATTTGCAGCTATCAAAATTAGTATTCAATAGTCTTCATACTCTTCTTCAAGATCGTACCTCAAACGGTCAAGCACTAGAAATCTGCACGAAAACTACGCCAACTTCAAAAACCATGTGCCCGTCGATGTTGAAAATATATGACGTCTAGACCTAGTAAGCCCTCTCATTCTTTGAGACCAACCATACTACAATTATCCATGCAATGAAATGAGCTTATCTCTGGTCCTTCTCTTACTCAGTCATCGCTATATTGGTCACGTGCGCACAGTGAACTTTAGCAATTGTTGGAACTGGGGGCTTTATAAGGCAGAATAACAGCTACACTCATATCCTTCACTCCTGATATTCATTCACACCCTTCACTCCTGCTATCCGTTCACCGTTCCACAGCGTTTCGAGTCTAACTATGGCTATCACTTTTACCCACGCTGTCATCGCAGCTCAACTAGAACTTCCCTTGCGCACTATCAAAGAGTTTTCATGAAATCATCACACTTCAATCCACTGGAAAAGTCATATGAAACGTTTGTTCGAACACACGTCGTGTGGTGCACATGATAAACCTTCAATTTCGTTTTTCAATCGATTTTTCCGGTCTCAACACTCATAAAACCGACCACAACTTTAAAACACATACCAAGGTATAATCGACACCAGCATGGTGTTAGGGAACTCCACCAATTCCCGAATATCAATATGCCACATTGATTTGATCAAAACCTAACTGCCCATGTTAACTCTCATCGTATAACATGCTCTAGAAATCCTATAAAAACCATAACGGAAAGCTCAACTTTACCATCTGTTCTTCACTTTTATGTTTAATTCAAGGTTTCTTTCTTAAAAAAATTGAAACCGGGGATCTTTCCTTCGGGGAGGGTCCTAACGTGCATCATCGAAGATTCGTAGTTCCTCCAATGGTCTGGGAATTCAAAGCGATGCGCAGAATGAGGTAAAAATGGCATTTGAGTCAGCATCGCGGGGAAAGTTTACTACACAAGAACCGCGTGCACTGCGATATAGTCAATTTTTCGGTTTGGCTATCGTTAAGGCTCAGTGGCACATCATTAAATTTACTAGTGTAGTATTTTATTCTATTTTCTTTGGGGCCTAGTTAGTCTTGTTTTGCCCTTGAATTTTGTTTCGTAAAAGTTGCAACACTGCAGGACCCCATTCGGGACGCCGTTTGTATTGGCTAACGTTTTCTTGCATACCGTCGACTGCATCGTACATGTCTTGTAAAACGTCGCTCTGGGAATAGAAATCGTCAGTCAAAAATTGATCTGCCATGTTCCACAGATAAGTCCTGATAGAAAAACACATAGCCTGAGACTTGGGACCCAATTTAATTAAACACTGCCGTTCCGATCTGTAGTACAGATCTCGTCCTCCACGCAATTGCTCCAAAGTCTTAGCCAAGATTTGTTCTGTGGCCAAGCCCTTGTTGTCGTCGGTCACATACAATTTGGGATGCGTTTGGAATGAGAAATTGAGCCGCATCACTAGCTTCCCAATCTTGTGCATTTCAAAAAATCTATTCATGTGCATTTGCAACTTTTCCTTATACTCTGGAACTGGGCCATGCACCAACGTTAAGGGCTTCAACAACCGGTTTCTCGGGTTGAATCCAGCTGCAAATGCAAATATTCCGGCCATAAGAACGTATTCTCCGTTAAACTGGCGTCTGTCATCTGGGAACATCAATATTAGATCTTCCTCCACAAGTCTGCTGAGCGCTAGAATCAATTCGTGTGCCCTTCGTGTTCGCGCACATGAAATCAGACATCTGTACCCGACACTGTCGGTCTTGGATTTGTCGGAATCTGAGTTGGAGAACGAAGATGGTATTACTTCTGCATCTTTGCATCGAAAATCGAGAGCATTTATCGTGCTCTCTGGGAGATCCATGTATTTAAGTGGATCGACCGGATGATACTCGTCGACGATGGTATTGTGCAGGACGCCAGGCGAGTCCTTGGAAGGTCGCTGGGAAACCTTGAAATTCTGTGGATACCGCTGTAGTAGAAATACCACAATGTTTTCGTAAAGTTCGCACAGTGCAATTTCGCAAGTTTTAACGTCTCGATCGCTGATGAGCGTTTCTGAATACAATGGGTCCTTCTCACTTTTACTACCCACAGCACTCTTTCCTGCTGAGACCATTGCAGGATCCAAATAGAATATAACGTCGTGGTAGTTTTCTCGGACAATATCCCATTTGGCCTCAATCCTGGTTTTGTATGTGTTATCGAGAACGAGCCAGTCCTGCGCCGGAATTGTTCTTATGCCCATATTGAGTTTGTACTCACCTGCTTTGAAAGGTTGGTACGGAAACGGTTTAGTTTGTTCCCACAATGTATCGCTCGCACTCACTTGGTCTGCCAAAATGATACCTGACTTCCAATCATTTTCATCAGGGCGCTTCTTCTTACGCACAACCGCACTTTTTTCGCCGTCCGCTGCCAAATCCTTGTAAATGAGATACAGGAAACAGCACATCAGCGGAAACGTAACATGTTTGCCCAAAATTGGACTTAAATCGGGCATTTTTGTCTACCAGAAAGCTTGTTTAACAGTTAAAAGTGAGTACTCGATGCAACTCCGGTAAACTTTGTAGTCAGTCAAGGACAGACTTCCTTGATCAAACTGTAGGATTTTTCAATATTCAATACGCAGTGTTCATTCCGATGGGTCCGAGCTGATCTCGAGCCCTAGGGTTTGTTCTTGATAAGGAAACCCAAACGCTCTCTGATTAGCCTGATATAGCATAGCAGAAAATGGTCGTGAAAGACGGCGAAAAAATAGAGCACACAGACTTCTAGTTATGGGCCCATTTTAACGGTAGGATACAGCGTTCGAGGGAATTCTAGTCACAACAATTACCAGAGATCTTGAATGTCAGCATACGTATGGTCAGTGAGACACGAAACAGTTGCCCATATCAAGTTAAGACACTTTGATCACTTTCCACGGGTAGTCATCTCTAACACGCTAACCAGTATTGGAACGTTTAGTTTCCGATCTAGCAGCTCATTTCTTCCGGGCACAACGTTAACAAACCGGTCCAGAGTGTTTTGCTGTTCCAAGGGTTCTTTGGCGTCCCAACGCGTTTTGACAAGTTCCAAAATGGTCACCCCGCGCTGGATGTGCGGGCCGTAAGCAAACAACACAACGCTTTTGCCCTGTCGCAGCTGTTCTGTTAGCTCTGATACGTATTCTTCTGTCTTTGTATTCTTGGTAGCGTATCTTACGTGGCACTTTTCAATGGCAATCTCGCGATCTGCAATTACCGTGGGAACGATTTTGTCACGAATAAAAGCATTACAATCCACGCTTTGGGCGATTTTCAGCCCGGTTTCAATATTCCGGTACAGCACGGTACTCGATTGAGTCTTGAGGACGGTTGTTGGGTCCTGTGAAAGCATGTTTTGGGGCATTTGTGTGTCTTTGTTGAATCATGAGATGAGCATCAAACGCCGTTTCTTAGTACAAATTAGGTTTTTATTAGGTATACGCGCGACAGGGCTCGAGAGAGCGTCAGAGTGGAAGGAGGTTGTGTCAGGGGAGAGCAAGAGAGGCAATTGGGGGGAGGGTCAATGAACGGCAAATGGGCGGCCAATTGGTGGCTAGTGGACAGCTCAATCAAATTGTAATTTGAGCTAGCGGGAGAGACGAGTTGTCTAAGAGATTTGGGTAGTATTTGTAAAAGATTTGAAAATGTTGCAAACAAGAGGCGATAACAAGATTGAGTGGTGATTGGTGCTGTGTGGGGTGATTGAAAGAGCGGAAACGCGGAGTTTGTATAGTTCAAAATTGTGTTTATGGTTTGTGGTGATTTTCATAATTAGGACGTTAATTCGTACTTTCCATGTGTACTGAAAGACACACAGATGATTATGTTAAAACAAAGATTTTTGGACAGATCGAATGATTTAGAGGGGACCATGAGATCTTGGTGCGTGTGTCTGTTCAAAATTGGCAAGTTCACAGTTATCCAGAAGGCAACATAACTAGTGTGACACGCCTAACACTGCGTGAATGTGTGAATATCGCACTAAATCTGCTTGGAAACTACAAGATGTAGAAAAACAGTCGTGAGCCAGGTTGGACCGTAAACATTCCCAGCGTGAACTATCCGACCTTCCATATGATTTTGTTTACTAGCATCTGTCCCATGTCACGTGATCAGCAATTGACAACAAGCCTGCTTAGAACTTAGATCTATCTGCTATGGCTTCCACACAGCAAGCATTTCAAAAGTCTTACAAACATGAATCCTCCTAAATACTAGAGTGAAGATTCCAAGATGGAACATACCCTCGTGAATGTTTTTTGAAAGTGTATCTCCATGGTTGTGTGACGATAATGACAGCGTCACTAAAATAGCTCTTCATCAGTTGGCACGAGCTGCGTTTTTCTGAACTCCTAGTACGTACAATACAACGCTTAAGGCTCCAAACTTCTAACAGAATTGTAACTGTTTTTCCCAATCTCAAACTAACTGCTTCTCCCAATCTCACAGCTCAATTTTTGGTGCTTCAAGCACGATGACGCGTCATGAACAGCGAGACATCCGGTTTCATACCCTGTATGTGACAAACATGTTCTCATCTTCTGTAGCTCGGGTTTCTCGTCCCCGGATGTGACTGCTTCTTCACAACTTAACACCCACACACCCGAATTATTTTACTTACAGCTCTGAAAAAACTTCAAAAATCTCATATCACTACATCTGCACTATTTTGAATACCGACGCAAAAATCTACTCTTGGAAGCATCACGTGCACTAATTGGAAAAATCTCCCACATTTTTCACTCACTATCCACGAAATGCTACTTTCCCATACCCAATTCTCAATCCATTTTCTATCAACTTCAACACCACTCTTCTATCCCAAGCTCAACTTTACGATCCTTCTAACTGCCTTTCAGCATCTATCAGGAAACCTTTAAACATCCTAACAACACTAAACAAGTTCGAAATGGGAGGTATCCGTGAGAAGAAATCTGAGTACTTTGCCAAGCTAAGAGAATATCTCGAGGAATACAAGTCTGTATTCGTCGTTGGTGTCGACAATGTGTCTTCTCAGCAGATGCACGAAGTCAGAAAGGCTCTAAGAGGCCGCGGTGTCGTGCTTATGGGTAAGAACACCATGGTCAGACGTGCCATCAGAGGTTTCTTGGCCGACTTGCCAGACTACGAAAAATTGTTGCCTTTCGTCAAGGGTAACGTTGGTTTCGTTTTCACCAACGAGTCTCTATCCGAGATCAAGGAGGTGATTGTGTCCAACACCGTTGCTGCCCCAGCCAAGGCTGGTGCCGTCGCCCCAGAAGACATCTGGGTCAACGCCGTCAACACCGGTATGGAACCTGGTAAGACCTCTTTCTTCCAGGCTTTGGGTGTCCCAACCAAGATTGCCAGAGGTACCATTGAAATTGTCTCTGACGTCAAGGTCGTCGAGTCCGGTAACAAGGTCGGTGCTTCCGAAGCCGCTTTGTTGAACTTGTTGAACATCTCGCCTTTCACTTTCGGTTTGACCATTGTGCAGGTCTACGACAACGGCCAGGTCTTCCCATCCACCATCTTGGACATCACCGACGACGAGCTTGTCTCTCACTTTGTGTCTGCCATCAACACCGTCGCCTGTGTTTCCTTGGCTGTTGGCTACCCAACCCTACCATCGGTTGGTCACTCCGTTGTCAACAACTACAAGAACTTGTTGGCCGTTGCCGTCGCCTCCAACTACATCTACCCTGAGATCGAAGAGTTGGCCGACAGAATCGCCAACCCTGACAAGTACGCCTCTGCTGCTCCAGTTGCCGCTGCTGCCTCTTCCGATGCCCCAGCTGAGGAAGCTGCTGCCGAAGAGGCCGAGGAGTCTGAGGATGACGACATGGGATTCGGCTTGTTCGATTAAACACAGTAGCTGAGTACTCTCCTCACATACACTAGTTTATCTTTACATAATTAAATTTGGGTCCAAATTGATCAGTTTTGATGGCATCCACAAGTGATGTCTTGTCGTCACAGAGAAGCTGCGCGTGGAAGAAGTAGGGAACTCGCAGTGGAGATCGTACCAGAATTTTCCGTTTGTACAAGGGAAGGGGTCCTACAAGATGGAAATACTCTCTATCAGCGGCATTAGTGGGCAAACCATTAGGAGAACTACCAGCTGGGTGCTAGGTTTCTACTAGTTTCTTCTAAGAAGCTCTATGACAGATGGTTCATTTTCATGACGCCGTAGTTCGAAGTACTCGAGTACTGATGGGTACCTCGAGCAGAGCTTTGGGTATCTCGGAGTTTGGTTGTCATGGTGATGCTCCACTCTCGAATGTGAGTATTGAGGCTATTGTTTTGTGAGTTTCCCTAGCCTCTGAAGGAGAGTGGAGCTCTGGTGGTGTGTTGTTAGAAAGGACTTAACGCTTTCAATTTCGGTAATGGCAAGTTTCGTTCGTTTTAACTGAGGAAAGAGGTGTAGCGTCGAGCGAGTTCAGCCTTTGACCACAGAGCACCTGTCGCTTAGAAGAGAAAGAGCATCTGGAAAAGGAAGCTCTAATTTTGCGCGGGATGTTTTTGTCCTGCTACGTTCGCTCTGAGGTGCGAACTTTCATAATATATCAGTAGGTCTGGCATCACAAGTAACGCGTTAAAGCACAATCTCTTGGAATATATGAAGTTAGCTCAGCATTGTCTAGCTCTTCTTCAATCAAGATCTTGATTTCAGTCTGTTTTACTGCTCAAATGTAAAAGTTCCCGACCCAGCGTCAGACGCCAGACGACGTTTTACATATAAAAGAATTTTGTAACCCTTTACATCAGTCGTCGTCTAGATACATGACTGCACATATTCCGCCCAGCACCTATCACACTGTATGATGATGTTCTCGGAACTAAGGGAATCCCGAATGGGATACATGAACTCGTTGCGTGCATCAGAAAACTCAAAACTCTACGTCGCGAGATCCCTCTCTCACGAGAGTGAAAGAACAAGGACAATCGATAGAAACCCTCTACAAGGTGAATCTCAAAACTCAGAGCCACCACAAAACCTGGCATTCTTCGAAAATGTTGACCAGGTTGAGCAGGGTGAGCAGGATGAGCATTTGCGCTTAGAAAGCGATACAACCGATGTCGAGACTATTGGCGTCATTTCTGTGAACGGCAGCGTCATACATTACTCATTAGATTCTTCTGCAGGAAACCAGCAGCAGCAGGTTTTCACACCAACTGTGATTGGAGATAATGACAGACTGACTTTGCGGTTGTTGAATGTTTATTTGGCGCTCTTTATTACCGACGCCAGTTTCGCCCAAGATCTCGAACATACCGACTCTGCTAATGAATGGATCAGAAAGAAGGCGTCTCCACAGATCATGATCAATGATATCACCAGCTCAGTGGGGAAGCTAGTGGATGTGATTGGATTTGTGGACCAAATCATACAAACACTTTCGAGCTTCTTGTGCAATGACACTTTCCAAGAAAAATGTCAAGCCGAAGCATGGGGAGCAGAGGAAATCGCAACATTTGAGCGCCAAATATCTTCCATTTTGAAGTCCTTCATTTTGGAGTACGCACCACAAGCCAAGTTGTCAGCGATGTGTCCTCAATTCGAAAAATCTGTCTCGCTCCTCAAAAGCTTGAGCACGGAAACCTGCTATTGGAAGCAGACAAGAAATTCCGCTGCTCGTGGAGTTGACGAACCGGATTGGATCATTGCCAAAATGCGTAAACTCAGATGTGTTGCACCGACCATTGTAGATTCATTAGATTTCGACGTTACAATGCCTGCCAATGCAACACCTTACGCTAGAAGCCGCAAAGGTGAGATAGAGCTTTTGGAGATTTTCACTTCTCTGTATGCCATTTTTTTGATGGAAATCAAAAAGCTTTTCCAATCTGTCATTTCCGTTTCAAGGGCAACAGGTATTCTTCGCAACTTGAATGCTTCATTACTAGTCGAATGTCTTGAAGGTTTTATGCGCAACTCTTTCATTAGTGGCACCTCGCAGCTTTTAGTTGATCTTGACAAGCTAGTACTGATCTGGGCCCAGGACAATGAGTACTTCAAGGAAAACACAAAGGCATGGGCATCGCGGTTTGTCGCCGAATGGAAAGTTGAAAAAGACGCTGACGGTCCGGAAACCGTGACCGTCCGGACAAGAAATAGCAGTGAAGCTACGAGTCCCGACTTTGATATTGTGCGGCTATTCATCAACGAGGTCCTCGACATTTGCGCGCTCGGCACATGTCGTAGGTCGGAGCCACTCGAGACCATGACAGTGCGGGAGAAAGCGCCTACTAGCGGGCTAGGATGGCTAACAATTTTCCAAGAGGGTGATAATGGCGAGCAAACCCACGACGGCCAGGTCAATGCCTTCACCTGCGAGATCAACTCGTCTCCCGAAGAGGAGGTGGATGAGTACCGGCAGTTACAGGCACTTTACGGCGGGGAGTTCTCCATGATGGAAGACGAAACCACAATGAACGTTATCCCAGAATCTGAACATTTTTGGTCTCGTCATCATCGCACAAATCACCACAAGCCTGGACAATTTCGCAATTGGATCAAACGGGGTCTCCGTTCGCAAGATGTGGTTCAAAAACATCGTATCGTAGAAAAATGTCACAGAGCCAAGGAAAAACTCAAAGGGTTTGCACACAGGGTATCACACAAAGAAAGAGAGCCCGTATTGCTAAGGACTTGGCATAAAGCAACTCCTGCCCCGCGTGATACCAAGGCTCCTACGAAACCGGCCTATCGTTTTGAAGAAGCTTTTGACAGGACCACGTACGGGACGACTTTCGACGAACACCAGACTCCACGCCGTTACGAGAATCTGAGACGCAAGAAGGACCGCTTCATGTTCTTGTTCTTTGGTGAAGAAAAGTAAGTGACATTAAAAAAAAATAGTCCGCTGGGTTGTGGACAACCGGGCACAATCTGCATTTATGGAACACTTGTTTTTATCAATTTTTCGTTTTTATCCTTTTTCTTATTTCCTTTCTGTAGTTGGAACTATTCATAATCTTACCTGTCGCCTCCAGAGCTTTCCATACCGTTCTTGTCGGTGTATGGTGAAAGTTCAGAACTCGACGAAAAGGGTCTCTTTAAAATCACAAACGTCGACTTACCCTTTAAGATCTCAGTGCCAAGCTACGCTGACCGTTTCTTCCGTGCAATATACAGACAAACGTTTATGTTCCCTTCAAAAGTTTCCAAACCTAGGGACCCTTTACCAGATCTCCCTTTGTTCTCTGCTATCACCATCCACGTGTACCTTATTTTTTTTCTCCTCGATATTGAAGGAGGGCCCTGATAGTATCTATAAAAGCTCGAAGATCTGGGGATCAAGACGATAGCTTTGTTTCGTGACTGGAAACCATTGAAAAGAAGAAGGACGGCGGTTCAACTCGTGTGGACATCCGCACAAACACACCGAACTGATTTATAGCGTCAGCCTGAAAGTGAAGGTTTTCAATCGTCCTCCCGGTCCCCCATTTGAGCCGTTTCATGAAATTAGCTGTTGGGTGTGGGTCTTTTTTCATTCGCTTCAATCACTCGTACCTTACGCCAGCAAAGCATGCTTCGCTTATACGCCGTATAAGCGGCAAGAAAAGCATCTCTGCAACCAGTAGAGACTACTCTACTGGTCCTCTTTTCGGGAACCACAACAACACGTTTCGTACGACAACAAGACAGGGTGCCTACGGAAGTACAGAGGTTCTGAACCAAGACCTCATCTCGGACAAGTTTCCTCGCGTGAAACTGGCGTTTGAAGTGGTTTCAGAGCATACTTCAACGTATTTTCCAAAAGCGCCGATTATCATTTTGCACGGTCTGTTTGGTAACAGAGCTAACAACAGGACTATTGCCCGGCAATTGAATGAGCGGCTCGAGCGCGATGTGTATTTGCCGGATTTACGCAACCATGGTCTGTCACCGCATATTGGACGCCACGACTACCCGTCAATGGCGGCAGATGTGGAGATGTTCATCGAAGACCAGAAATTTGAGCATGCACCTATCATCGTAGGTCATTCAATGGGTGCGAAAGTGGCCATGAGTGTGGTCCTACGCAAGCCCGATCTTTGTTCCATGCTGGTGAGTATTGATAATGCCCCAGTTGCCACGATGCCCACGATGTCATTTCCACGCTATGTGAAAAAGTTACAAGAGATTGTTGAAAACCCTAAGATCCAGACATTTGGCGAAGCTGAAAAGTCTCTGCGCGACGTGGAAAACTCGCCTGTAATTCGTCAATTTTTGCTTACCATTTTGCAAAGAACAAAGGATGAGAACGAACCTGGACGATACCGGTTTAAGGCAAGGATCCCGCTGGGCATTTTGAACGACGCCATCGTGAAGGGAAATATAGCCAATTGGGAATTCAATCCATGGGTACACCAATACACTTGTCCGTCGCTTTTCATTCGCGGCACGCGGTCGCACTATATTTCTGACGAGTCGCTGCAGGACGTGGGCCGGTTTTTCCCGCGGTTTGAAGTGCGAGATATTGATGCTACACATTGGGTCAATACAGAAAAGCCTCAAGAGTGTAGTGACCTGATTGCAGACTTTGTGGAGAGGAACGAAGATCTGTGAAGGGGTGCACAGAGCGTTGGACCAGAAAACATCGGCACTGTTTATTGTATCGTTATGGGGCCGTAGTTTAACGGCTGTATATTTTAGAAAATGTTTTTAAAATTGAAGTTTATTGGGTGCGACTGTAGTGGGCGACAGGAGTAGCTGCTGTGTGGATGAGGCAGGTCTTCTTGGCCAAATGCCAGCGTCACAGTTGTCTAACGTAATATAATTGCAAGACCAACAGAGTGCTTCGCAATGCAACTCTTGTAAAAGCATCGGCAAGCATATCCAGTGAAGAGGGTCAGAATTCTTGTTATGTCGAGTGACGAGGGGAAGGAAAGAGTCGAACGAAGCCCAAAGGTTGGACTAAGTTTTTGGCATGAGGACGGTAAGCGACACACAACGTAAATAGTGATATACACCATCAACATCTTTTTTTCGTGTGTCAGACACCGTATAAAGCTTCCCAACTCAGCTCATTCCACTACTGACGTCTCAGTAGCCTCTGCAAACTCCAACGGTGCGAATGCCTAACTCCCAATGCGGTTGATCATATCATTTAAGGCATTTCCCCTCACTATACACGAAAGTTTCACAAATCCCACCTAAACCCATTTTTGATCAACTTATCACACGCAATTTCCACCCGAATCTTCCACACAATACCCCCAAACCCTCTTCTCTTGTCTAACACAATCCCTAAAGTCGGCTGGACCTTCATAGTTTCCAATTTCCAATTAAATCCTTACCCTTCACGTGACCTCCAACTAAAAAAAGCTCGGTCTCAAGTTTCCCATGTCCGAGCAGAGACCATTCTTGGTAATAATAAGAACAGAGGGAAAAAATTAGCCCTCTTCACACACTACACATAACTAAACATTGCCCTACACTTTTCAGCAGAAACCCAAGCTGATCCATAACCACTGCCCTGGGTGACTCTCACGCGTGTTTTTCCAGATAAAGACACTCGCGACGCGTCAAAACAGCTAATTGACAAAGAAAACTGGTTCTTTTCTGGTCTTTTTTACGTGTTTTACTGTCTGTTAAGCGCCCGGGATCAAAACTTAAGGTAAATCCCTAGCTTTTTTTTGGCAGGCTTTCCAAAGGTATGTATACATCTCGCCTGTAATATAGGTTACAGGAACTACTAATGTGCTATAGCGGTGTGCTAGAGGAACAGTTGGAGGGGTTTTGTTTTAACCGTTCTCTAACGCCACTGGATCAAAAACATGATTTCGCGCTGTGTGTGTAGTGTTACTGCGCTATTGTGGGAAACTTTTATTTTGTTCGAGAGGGGTGGGAAAATGACCCTTGGTTCGAACCCAGCGGGTCGCGGAAATAGCAATTACGGAACAAACCGGAAGAGTCCGGAGGAATACGGAACGGAGCTAAGGAGGACGGGGCGAGCTCACGTGACACAAGGAGAAAAAGAAGACCGACAAGAAGAAGAAGAAGAGGACTGACAAGAATGTGTGGGTTATCAACGCACTGTTTCAATCAAGATATCGGTGTTCGCGAAAATCGGGATGTAGGTGCTGGCAAAAGCTAAGAATTTGGTGAGCACCATTAACAAGACTACCGTTCCGTTTAGATGCAGTTTGCCCCAACAAAGAGAGGCTTGGCTGTGTCGTCGATCTTCTTGATTCCTTCTTTGAGCCTTTTGCCTGTGGCATTGTTACGTGGGTGAGCCGTACCGTTTTGGGAAGTGTAATGAACGAATAGCAGACGTGAAACAGGTGAAAACTGACGTGGAAACGCAGCCCGGAGCGGAAAGGAGAACGAAGAAGTTTTTTTTTTCTTTTTTAGGCTCTTTTTTTAGGCTATTTTTTTCGCGTTGTGCGCTGCAATAGTGAACAACCGAAATCTCCCAAAAATTCTCAAAGATGGGCCGGGGGAGAAGAGGTCTTTTTCATTTTCGATTTGGCCCTTCTTCACAGATTTCATCGCGATGAGTTCTAAACGCTCCGGCATTTGGGTTTTCCGTCCTTTTTTCGTTTCTTTTTCTTTTCTTCTTTCCAAGTTCTTCGAAGCGTGTTTGATGAGCGTCGTGTGCAACTCCTGTCCTAGGAAGGAAAAAAGTTTCCAAGACCCGTTCGCTACGCAGCAACTTTTGGCACTTTCATTCCTTCCACTGATTTTTCCGCAGCTCCTCAAATCCGTTAAACGCTTGCTCCACAACCACGCTCCGTCGTGTCCAAAAGTGCTTTGATTCACACATCACAGATCGCGTGGATCAAAAAAATTACAGAACCCAGGAAGTAGACGAAGTCGGGAACGGAAGGGGAAAAAGAAGCGAAAAGAAAAAAAGAGTTCGAACGCCAATCCGAGAAACCAATACGGCTGCTTCGACGCTAAAAATAAATTTTTCGGGTCGATTTGGAATTTGCATTAGGATTCGGATTTGGATTTGTAACTCTTTTTTTTTTTTTTTTGGTGGATCGCGTACCGTAATTCGTTGTCTCCACCAATTCCCAAAAAAATCGCCAAACTTTTGATCGTACTGCTGATTTGATCCAATCTTCTGTCACTTTTTAAAACTACTTTCAAAAGCAGGTTTCGCACTCTCGCTATTCCAACCACACACTCGCTCCAGCACCATAGGGCCTTTCGCACCTAATACTAACGTCGTTTCAAGACCCACCATCATCTTTTCCTGTCCGGAGAGAAACAGAGTGAAAACTAGTGTAGTGTAATTGTTCCTCGTTGGGATTTAGCTCCAAGATGTCCTATAACGACCAAAACCACTACTACGGTCAGGACGGTCAGCAGCAACCGCACCAGCAACCTCAACAGGGTGGTGAGTATGCTGATGACGCCTACCAGCAGGGCTACGGCCAGCAGGCGCAGTTTGACGAGTACGGTCAACCGATCTATGCTCAGGATCATTATGATCCGGAAGCTGCAGCGCATTACGACCCCAACGCTGCCGATTATTACGCCCAACAGGGCTATGATCCGGAATCCATGGAGTATGCGCAAGGCAACGCCTACTACGAACAACCTCGCGGCATGGGCCAAGACCCTGAAAACTTCTCCGATTTCAGTTACGGTCCTCCTGCGACTCCTGGCTACGACGGGTACGGTACACCAAATGCAGGCCAATATACGCCCTCGCAAATGAGCTACGGTGAACCCAGATCGTCGGGTGCTTCAACACCAATCTATGGTGGCGAAGGTTTCGACTCTTCAGCTATCGCCATGGCTTTGCCCAACGAACCTTACCCAGCTTGGACTGCCGATAATCAGTCTCCAGTCACTATCGAGCAGATCGAAGATGCTTTCATTGACCTTGCCAATAGATTCGGATTTCAGAGAGACTCTATGAGAAATATGTTTGACCATTTCATGACTCTCCTCGATTCCAAAGCCTCTAGAATGTCTCCACAACAAGCTCTTCTGTGTTTGCATGCGGACTACATCGGTGGTGATACCGCGAATTACAAAAAGTGGTATTTCGCCGCCCAGCTGGATATGGACGACGAAGTTGGATTCCGTAACATGAGTTTGGGTAAACTCTCCAGAAAAGCAAGAAAGGCTAAGAAGAAGAATAAGAAGGCTATGAAAGAGGCACAGGAGGAAGAAAACGGCGATACTGAAGCTATGTTGAGTCAACTTGAAGGTGACAACTCTTTGGAAGCGGCCGACTTCAGATGGAAGGCCAAGATGAACAAATTATCCCCACTGGAAATGGTACGTCATGTCGCCCTGTACCTCATGATCTGGGGTGAAGCTAATCAAGTTAGATTCACATCCGAATGTTTGTGTTTCCTATACAAGTGCGCCTCTGATTACTTGGACTCCCCCTTGTGTCAGCAACGTACAGAGCCAATGCCCGAAGGTGACTATTTGAACAGAGTCATCACCCCACTTTACCTTTACATCAGATCTCAGGTTTACGAGGTTGTCGATGGTCGTTTCGTGAAGCGCGAAAGAGACCACAACAAGGTGATTGGTTACGATGACGTCAATCAACTCTTTTGGTACCCAGAAGGTATCGCCAAAATTGTATTTGAAGATGGCACTCGATTGATCGATTTGCCGGCCGAGGAACGTTACTTGAGACTTGGCGAAGTCAGTTGGAATGACGTCTTCTTCAAGACCTACAAAGAAACCCGTTCCTGGTTCCATTTGATAACCAACTTCAACCGTATTTGGGTCATTCATGGTTCCATATATTGGATGTATGCGGCTTACAATGCTCCCACCTTGTACACCAAGAACTATCAGCAGCTTCTGGATAACCAGCCTTTGGCAGCTTACAGATGGAGTTCACCTGCCTTGGCTGGTACTTTGGCTTGCATTATTCAGCTTGTCGCAACCATTTCCGAGTGGTTTTTCGTTCCCCGTAAATGGGCTGGTGCTCAGCACTTGTCCCGTAGGTTTTGGTTTTTGGTTTTGATTACTGCCATTAATTTGGGTCCTATTATATTCGTTTTCGCCTATGACAAACTAGATGTGAAATCTCAAGCGTCGCATGTTGTGGGTGCTGTGATGTTTTTTGTTGCCCTTGCTACGGTGATTTTCTTCTCTATCATGCCATTGGGAGGTCTATTCACCTCTTACATGCAGAAGTCGACAAGACGCTACGTTGCTTCTCAGACGTTTACCGCATCTTTTGCTCCTTTGAAAGGCCTTGACATGTGGATGTCCTACCTACTTTGGGTCACTGTTTTCGCTGCCAAATTCGCGGAATCTTATTTCTTCTTGATCAAATCATTAAGAGACCCTATCAGAGTATTGACAACCACTTCGATGAGATGCAAAGGGGAGTTCTGGTTCAATGCCACTCTCTGCACCATACAACCCAAGATTGTCCTCGGGCTAATGATTGCCACAGATTTTATTCTCTTCTTTTTGGATACCTTCATGTGGTATGTTCTCTGTAACATGGTTTACTCGATCGGTAGATCGTTCTACCTAGGTATTTCGATCCTCACACCCTGGAGAAACATTTTCACGAGATTGCCAAAGAGAATTTACTCCAAGATTTTGGCTACCACTGACATGGAAATCAAGTACAAGCCTAAGGTTTTGATCTCTCAGATTTGGAATGCCATTGTGATTTCAATGTACAGAGAACATCTGCTCGCTATCGACCACGTTCAAAAGCTGCTTTATCATCAAGTTCCCTCTGAGATTGAGGGTAAGAGAACTTTGAGAGCTCCAACCTTTTTTGTTTCTCAGGATGACAACAACTTCGAGACGGAGTTTTTCCCAAGAGATTCCGAGGCCGAGCGTCGTATTTCTTTCTTTGCTCAGTCGCTTGCTACTCCAATCCCAGAACCACTTCCTGTCGACAATATGCCAACTTTCACTGTCTTGACTCCTCATTACTCGGAAAGAATCTTGCTTTCCTTGAGAGAGATTATTCGTGAAGATGATCAGTTTTCCAGAGTCACCTTATTGGAGTACTTGAAACAGCTTCACCCTGTCGAATGGGACTGTTTCGTGAAAGACACTAAAATTCTCGCAGAAGAAACAGCTGCTTACGAGGGAACCGCCGAAGACCTTGAAAAAGAGGGCGAAGTAGGTATCAAATCTCAAATTGATGATTTGCCATTTTACTGTATTGGTTTCAAGTCTGCTGCTCCGGAGTATACATTGCGTACCAGAATCTGGGCATCCTTGAGATCACAAACACTATACCGTACTGTATCTGGTTTTATGAACTACGCTAGAGCCATCAAGCTTCTTTACAGAGTCGAAAACCCTGAAATTGTTCAGATGTTTGGTGGTAATGCCGAGGGACTAGAAAGGGAACTTGAGAAGATGGCTAGAAGAAAGTTCAAGTTTTTGGTTTCTATGCAAAGATTAGCCAAGTTCAAGCCTCACGAATTAGAAAATGCTGAATTCTTGTTGAGAGCATACCCCGATCTGCAAATTGCATACTTGGACGAAGAGCCACCTTTGAACGAAGGCGAAGAACCTAGAATTTACTCTGCCTTGATTGATGGACATTGTGAATTGTTAGCGAATGGTCGCAGACGCCCTAAGTTCAGAGTTCAACTATCCGGTAACCCAATTTTGGGTGATGGTAAATCCGATAATCAAAACCATGCCATGATCTTTTACAGAGGTGAGTACTTGCAGTTGATTGACGCTAACCAGGATAACTACTTGGAAGAATGTCTGAAGATCAGGTCTGTATTGGCTGAATTTGAGGAATTGAATGTTGAACAGATTAACCCCTACGCTCCTGGCTTGAAATACGAAGACCAATCCACGAATCACCCTGTTGCCATCGTCGGTGCTAGAGAATATATCTTTTCTGAAAACTCCGGTGTGCTGGGTGATGTCGCTGCTGGTAAAGAACAGACTTTTGGTACCTTGTTTGCTCGTACCCTTGCTCAAATTGGTGGTAAGCTCCACTATGGTCACCCCGATTTTATTAACGCAACTTACATGAATACTAGAGGTGGTGTTTCCAAGGCTCAGAAAGGATTGCACTTGAACGAAGATATCTACGCTGGTATGACTGCTGTCTTACGTGGTGGCCGTATCAAACATTGTGAATACTACCAGTGTGGTAAAGGTAGAGATTTGGGCTTTGGCACAATTTTGAACTTTACCACCAAGATTGGTGCTGGTATGGGCGAACAGATGCTGTCTCGTGAGTACTACTATCTCGGTACACAGTTGCCGCTTGACAGATTCTTGTCATTCTACTATGCTCACCCTGGTTTCCATTTGAACAATCTTTTCATTCAGATTTCTGTCCAGCTCTTCATGTTAACTATGGTGAACTTGAATGCATTGGCACATGAGTCTATTCTCTGCACTTACGACAGATACAAGCCTATTACTGATGTTTTACATCCCATTGGATGTTACAACTTTGCCCCTGTCATTGACTGGATCAGACGTTACACCTTGTCCATTTTCATTGTCTTTTTCATCTCTTTCATTCCTATCGTGGTTCAAGAACTCATTGAGCGAGGTATCTGGAAAGCCACTCAAAGATTTTTCAGACATATCATTTCTTTGTCTCCGATGTTCGAAGTTTTCGCAGGTCAAATTTACTCTTCTTCTTTATTGAGTGACTTAACTGTTGGTGGTGCCAGGTACATTTCCACAGGTCGTGGTTTTGCCACCTCCCGTATCCCATTTTCTATTCTGTACTCTAGGTTTGCTGGATCTGCAATTTACATGGGTGCTAGATGTATGTTAGCACTTTTGGCGGGTTCTGTTATCCATTGGCAAGCTCCTCTTCTATGGTTCTGGGCTTCTTTGACTGCTCTTATTTTCTCGCCTTTCATTTTCAACCCTCACCAATTCTCGTGGGAAGATTTCTTCTTGGATTACCGTGACTTCATCAGATGGTTGTCAAGAGGTAACAACAAATACCACAGAAACTCCTGGATCGGGTATGTCAGAATGACCAGATCGAGAGTCACTGGTTTTAAGCGTAAGCTCACCGGTGATGAGTCTGAAAAGGCAGCTGGCGATGCCGCTAAGGCTCACAAGTCAAACATGCTTTTGCCTGACATTATTCCATGTGCAATTTACGCTGCCGGTTGTTTCGTTGCTTTCACTTTCATCAATGCACAAACTGGTGTTAAAGATGCCGAATTGGTCAATTCAACGTTGCGTATCATCATCTGTACCCTAGCGCCAATTGCTGTTAACATGGGTGTCCTGTTCTTCTGCGTTTGTCTATCTTGTTGCTCTGGTCCGCTTTTCGGTCTATGTTGCAAGAAGACCGGCTCATCCATGGCTGGATTTGCTCATGCTGTGTCAGTGATCGTGCACATTGTTTTCTTCATTGTGATGTGGGTTTTGGAAAACTTCAACTTCGGCCGCATGTTGGTTGGTGTTTTGACCTGCCTGTACATTCAGAGATTGATTTTCAAGGTCATTACCGTGTTTATGTTGTCTCGTGAATTTAAGAACGATCACGCAAACACAGCATTCTGGACTGGTAAGTGGTACGGCACTGGTTTCGGCTACATGGCGTGGACTCAGCCAGCCAGAGAATTTTTGGCCAAGGTTGTTGAGCTCTCTCATTTTGCAGGTGACTTTGTGCTTGGCCACTTCATCTTGTTCTGTCAGTTGCCGCTACTCTTTATCCCATACATTGACAAGTTCCACTCCATCATGTTGTTTTGGCTAAAGCCCTCTCGTCAAATCCGCCCTCCAATCTACTCCCTCAAGCAGAGCCGTTTGCGTAAGCGGATGGTGAAAAAGTACTGCTCATTGTACTTTTTGATCCTGGTAGTTTTCGCTGCCTGTATCATTGGTCCAGCTGTCGCTTCCAAACAGATTAAGAGCAACTTGAGTGATAGTCTAAACAACAGCATTTCGACGAAAACCTTTCAGAATCTGGTGCAGCCTAAGAACAAAGGACATGACGATACTGGTTCCAGTCTCCAGAGTGGTAACCACTTCTACTACACCATTCCATCTTCCCTGGCAACAACTTCTTACGCCACCAAGGCTTGATCCGAATCGTGACTGGATAGGATTGCTTGCTGCCTCTCGGTACTTGTTATTTTTATGTATTTTATGTTTACTTTTCTAAAAACAGACTATTTTTCGGACTACTACTTCACATTTGTCACTATTTTAGTAGAATTCAGTAAGCTAAGCGTCTGGTAGCTTGAGTCGCTAATTGGCGACTCTATGGTCCAGCCTGGTTCATGCTGTCGGTTCTGTCAAGCGTTGACGTTTAGTAGGAGCTTTTTTTTGTGCACTGTCGTCAGGCTCAAAAGACCTCGCTTTGTTTGACATATAAAGGCGATGTCAGTAGTTCACTTGATGAAGTTCTTAGTTTGAACCTTGTTCACAGAAAAGTATAGAAAAAGACATCAAAAACTATCGCATCAGCATTTGCAGCCTATTCACCATGAATTTTGCACTAATCATAATCAACCTCTTCATCACCTACGTGATGTTCGCATCGGGCGTCATTAAAGCTGAGGAATTCAAATTGGACTATGCTTCTGCAAAGCCTGCCGCGCTACCACCAATTGAGACCGTAGGAAGCAAGTTTTTCAGCAGCGAGACCGGTGAACAATTCTTCATCAAGGGAATAGCGTACCAACCACAGTATTCGTTGGAAGATGTCAGTAGTCTCGGTATACCGATCAGCGACACAAAATATATCGATCCACTGGCATCACCTGCAATTTGCTTAAGAGATATTCCTCACCTGGCTGAATTAGGCGTCAACACGATCAGAGTTTATGCAATCGACCCAACGCAGTCTCACGATGTTTGCATGGAAGCACTCATGGAAAACGGTATTTACGTTTTGCTCGACCTTTCCGAGCCCGATGCCTCCATATCCAGAGAGTCCCCCAGCTGGGATGTTAACGTGTATCAGAGATACAAAGATGTAATAGATGCCATGCATCAATATTCAAATGTTCTCGGGTTTTTCGCCGGGAACGAAGTTACCAACGATAGAACGAACACGGATGCTTCACCATTTGTAAAAGCTTCTATCCGCGACATGAAAGAACACATAAAGGATATGAATTATCGAGCAATCCCTATAGGGTACTCCACAAATGACGATGTGGAGACCCGGGAAAACCTCGCGCAGTTCTTCAGCTGCGGAAATGACACAGCTGACTTCTATGGTATTAACATGTATGAATGGTGCGGCTACTCATCATTCCATAGCAGTGGCTTTGACAAAAGAACTCAAGAGTTTAAAAACTATCCCATTCCCGTTTTTTTTTCGGAGTTTGGCTGTAATTTGGTCAGACCAAGACCTTTCACAGAGGTGGAAGCACTCTACAGCAAGCAAATGAGCGGCGTTTGGTCCGGCGGCTTGGCTTACATGTACTTCGAGGAGGAGAACCAATATGGACTTGTAGAAATAGATTCCAAAAATCGGGTTGTCCGATTGAAAGATTATGACTACCTGAGAGATGAATTCAACAAGTCCGAGCCCAAAGGTATAACAAAATCCGAATATTTGCGAAGGCTGGGGTTGAACACTGGTGGGCCCATCACAAAGAGGGAATGCCCATCAATTTCAGTAGCTTGGAAAGCTGCAGAAAAATTGCCAGATAAACCTGAAAAGTCCAAATGCGACTGTTTGACGAATGCTTTGCCATGTCTTGTCACTCCATTTAGCGACCGGTCCAAATACAGAGAATATTTCGAATATGTCTGCGGTCAAGTGGATTGTTCAGATATAAAAGCAGACGGTGAGAATGGTGAGTATGGAGAGTATTCGGGCTGCACACCAGACCAGAAACTGGCTTTGCAAATAAGCAAAATGTATTTCAACTTGGCTGAGCAAAACGACATTTGTCCAGTGGATGATAGACACATCTATTTCAATCGCGACAGTAAAAACGATCAAAATGATAAAGAGTGCACATCCTTGATCAGATCCGTGCAAAAAACATCGAAAGCACGGAAAACTGACAATAAAAGTTTGAATCCGTCTAAAGACCACACATCCAGTGGAAGCCACATAGTACCCAAATTTGTAATGGGATTAGCGTTTGTGATATTGACAGGATCGATTGTATAGACAGGACATAGGATAATCAAAACACAGGCGTGACAGAATATGCAGATGAGAAACGGAAGAGAGTGGGGTGTTCCACGATCAAGCGAACGATGAAAAACGGAGAATGCGTCCGGAAAAAAATCGAATCTAGTGACAGGACGCGTGAGTGTATGGCTTTAGGGTGGATTGCCACAATTGTGTCCAATTCAAAGAACGGAGTAAGGTCATTAGCGGTCTGTCTTGCCATTAGGTCTTAGGGCCCCAGTTTACGCCTAAAAACCCCTTCGGTTTGGCGATTGAAACTTGAGGTTTGATGAAATAGTAACGTTTTTCGCCTGGAATATCCATGTACATAGAAACCAAGTCTGGGGTGTAATTCTTGTCACTTTCGCGTGCCTCGACATGTACCAGGGCCAGCTTTTGCTTAGACTCCACATGGAACCGCAGATAATGATGTTCTCTACCGTCTTTGCCTATGCGTCTTGTAGAAAGGATGGGTCTGTTTCTGGTCCAACGGTCGTCAGTCAACAGTTCACCGTACGCCTTCAACCGCTCTTTAGACTTTCCGGAGTCGTTACACAACAAAAGCTCACGAGCCTCCGGATCTGATTCCACCATTGAAACAGCGTTATTGAATAACCTGGTATCTCCAGAGGGCGAGAAGAGCTCTTGAAGCAAAAGGTAGATTACTAGTCCAGCCAAGCCAGATGCACCCACTACAAGAGCTCCAGAGACGGTGAAAGAAGTGAAAGCCTTGATTTTCGGCCATAAAGGTGAGGTTTTCGTCTTGGCCGTTTTTTTAGCCTGTTCCGATGCCGTGGAATTATTGAATTGTGCTGCAGCATACCCACGGCGTTGAGCTAAACCAACTAAAAGCGTACGGGCCGAACATGAAGTCGACAGTCTTGCATTTGACCAAAAGTTAAGTTTTGGAAGTGATTTTGCTAGCATTGAAAAGCGAAAGTTTAGACCGTAACAAAAAAAGGTACAAAGTAAGTGGATGAAATACTTAGATGCGAGCTAGCGGTGTTGGCAAGAGCAGAATTTCGCATCGATGTTGTATTGGCATCTAAATCGCTGAGTATTTTAGCTATTAGAGCTCATATAATTATCAGACAGACATACTACTAAAGTGTGTAGATAAATACGGTTTGATTTTGTATCTGTTCAAGCGTCCTTTAACGCCCCTTTAGTGCAATGGTTAGCATACATTTTTCCGGTGGATGTGATCCGGGTTCGAATCCCGGGAGGGGCTCATCTAAATTCAAGATTCAACAGTTCCGCATTAAACTGTTAGATCATCATTTTTTGGGATGTGATTAATTTTGTTCCTTTAGCTGTGTTGCTAGATGTGGTGGGAGTCTGATGCGGCAAGAGGTGGGTTTTTGAGCTGTGGAAGATGCTATTTTTTTGGCTTGATTTAAGTACAGCATATTTTTTATTTGAAAATAGGGTAAATCTGCAAGCCTATAAAGGGCAGTTTTTGGCTCATTACGTGCTCGCGTATGCTCCTGGTTTAAGCTTAGAGGTTTGAGGATATAGGGAAGAGCCTAGGCGTAAATCATTTTGTACTAATATGTCATCCGTTTACCAAAACCCAATAGTAGCAAGTAAATGACCAAAACGATGCATTAAAATAATGTAAATCCAAAACATCTCCCTTCAAGCACTGAAGTAGCTTGAGAAAACCCAGGGTTTACTCATGAAAACAAGTGATGTCAGTGTGGGAAAGTCACATTCGCCATACACGATCTTAACCACGTGCTATAAAGCAGTCAAATCTTCCCATTCACAAAACCCATACATCATATTATTAAAACATTTGAGCACTTTGTTTTCTGGAAGATATTTGACCTTATTTTTGCGTGGGTTCAAACGTGCGTCCTTCAAGATCCTTCGGAGCCTGGCAGCAGTCTACCTTTCAGCCTAGAGGCCAGGCAAGGTCCTGTCTGTTTCCTGCCACACCCCACTGGAGCCTCTGCCTAGAGTTTGTATCCGTTTCTGCCTAGCCTTTGTCGAGCTAGGCGGACACGCCGTTCCGGCTAGCTCTGGTTCCTCCATCGTCCGGTCTCACTCCAGTAACTGTAACACACAGGATCGAAAATATCAAAAGTTCCAGTTAACGAACTAGCGTTACAGAGGGCTTCGAAAGACGAATAGACAGGCAATACCAAAATGGCTAAACAATCTCTAGGTATGTGGTAGAGCTAATTATAACGAGTCCGCACTTAGACGTAGAACTGGGAAAACCAGGCTCTAAAAACGGAGCATTTTGGCGTGAAATTTGAATATTCGAGATGAATTTGTGTGGCCGATCACTTTTGAGCATTACCAATTATGAAAGAAGGCGAATTACCAATGGGTCGAAGGCTCAACAGAGATGCAACCACTGGGTTTTATGGCCGTTTTACGATTAAAAATATGAAGTCAGAAATTGTGGTTTTGGAACGACAAGGTATAACTCGGTATTGAAGGAAATACAAAACTCACCAGCACACTTCTCCTCATTTGAAAGTCCTTGGATCCTCTCCCTCCCTAGTCTACGCTCTCGGTGCATACTTCAAAGAACGGTTTTACTAACTTTCATTCAGACGTTTCCTCTGACAGAAGAAAGGCCAGAAAGGCATACTTCACCGCTCCATCTTCCGAGCGCCGTGTGTTGATGTCCGCTCCTCTATCCAAGGAGTTGCGTGCCCAATACAACATCAAGGCTTTGCCTATCAGACACGATGACGAGGTCGTTGTCGTCAGAGGTTCCAAGAAGGGCCAAGAGGGTAAGGTCTCCTCCGTGTACAGATTGAAGTTCGCTGTCCAGCTAGACAAGTTGACCAAGGAAAAGTCCAGCGGTGCTTCTATCCCAATCAACGTCCACCCATCCAAGATCGTCATCACCAAGTTGCACATCGACAAGGACAGAAAGGCTTTGATCCAGAGAAAGGGCGGTAAATTGGAGTAAATATAACTCGCTAATACTACTACCTCATTAAAGTATTATCAAGAGAGCGTTGGACGCGGAGGATTTTTTTGGTCTCTGCTGACAGCTCTTTATACGTAACTTGTAATGTACATTGCACACTAGGACTAGCCGTTTCGTTAGGTGTGAAAACACTAGATATACGAGCGTTTCAAATGCTTGCGGGCATTTGCACGAACGCAGGGAAGTTTCTAAGATCTGGTTCTTGAATTTTATGCATGGGCATAGCGATATACACCACATAGTGTGTCACACTTATGAAAAAAAAGTCAAGATTGTGAGGAAATTCTGCAACGAGGCTGCGTGTCAGAGATGCTGAACGAGTGAGTGAAGATGGGGCTCCGAGATCAGAACTTTTCCGAAGAATAAGCTCGTGCTTTGAAGTTGGCGACAAAAGGTGACAATTTTAAAAGATGTGATCACGTGATCATACAAGATATAAGGACATACTACTTATTCACGGTATCATTAAAGAGTTTTGACTCTATGACTTAAGGAAACGAACGGACTCGGAATACACCACTACCAGCGAAATTTCAACATGAATAACCCACTGCTCACTTTCATCGAATTGATCAATCCTCATTATACAAATGTGTACGCAAACTACGTGAGCAGTTAAGAGGATTGGTATGCACGTGACCGGAGTTAGTGTCAGTAAATTTCAACACACATATAGTGCTCGGGAATGAATGTTAGACGATGATCGATTCTCCTACCGGAAGCCTGTTTAGATACATCTTCAGCAACCGTCTCTATGTGCGTCTTTGAGTTACTCACTTTAATTTCCATCTGTTTCCCATTTGGTTCCCGTTTGTTTCCAGTTCCCATTGTTTCCAACTTTGTATGAGAAATATGTCCTTGACAGTTCTCGGTCATAACTCCTGTCCTGCGGTGGTTTCTGAGAGAATAAACTACAAAGCAATATACAATATCATGTTAAACGAAAAAAGTCAAGGGCAGTACACGTGATTTAAATTTACATATCATTTCACGTGGAAGTGAAAATTCACAGGTATTGTAAAGACCCCCCGAACTGCTCAAGTACCTTGTTATTGACGCCACAAAAGTCTCTACAGTCTCAAGCCTTGTAAATTTGCCGTTTCTTCCATAAATATTATATTATCAAATAAAACGTCGATCACGTGTATAGAGTCTAGTATAAAGTGATTTAGATTTAGAATCTATAGTTCATTTGTGAATTCTCTCTCTACACATCCTTCAAGGTTCATCTCCAGCAAGTTCCAACCGTATCCGCGACTTCCGACTCTCTACATACCCCCTACTATGAGCGTTGACGGCTCTGTGGATCTTTCCGATCTACAATCCCCTACCTTGAACGCCGGTAATCATATGGCAAGAACCAGAAGAAGATGGTCAAAAAGCTCGCAAGATCAACCCACCAAACCCTCAGCTTTGGCAGACGGGGTGCATGAAGACATCGATTTTGACTTCATTTCACCAGGGCAGCTATATTCCACAGAATCGGGCCGTCTTTTCCATGCAGGAAAGATCCTGATCGTGCTAGTGGGTCTTCCAGCAACTTCAAAAACTCTACTTTCTGTGGCAATCACTAGATACACAAAATGGCTGGGCGTGCGAACCAGTTCATTCCACGTATCAGAATACCGTAGAAAAACGATGGCAAGTATGGACTGCACCAGCTTTCCAAATGACTACTTTTCGGCAAAACCTACAACGGTCGAAGGTCGTAGCAAACGAAAACATATCCTGGAAAAGGTTCAAGAGGACATGATCGAGTTTTTCAATGAAAGCAAAGGCCAGCTGGCAATATACGATGCATTGAACATCTTAGTAGAAGAACGACTGCATTTGCAACAAGTTTTCTCCCGGATGAACACCAAAGTTTTGTTTATCGAATCTGTCATGACAGATTCGGACATGATCAAGCATAATGTGGATATGGCGTCTCAATCTGCAGACTACGTGGGCTGGTCTCAAAAGGATGCATTGGCCAACTACATGCACCGTTTAAAAGTTAACAGAGAGCTTTATGAAGAAATGACACCTGAAGAAGAACTGGCGTACGTCAAATACGTCAATTTCGGTGAAAGGCTCATAGTCAACAACAATCATTTTGGTTACCTCATTAACAAGATTGTGTTTTTCTTGATGAATCTGAGAAACAAGAAGGGCTGCGTCTATTTTGCACGTTGTGGTACCAGCACTAACGACAACTACGTCAACGATGAGCTGCTCAATAGCGCAGGAATTGAATACTCAAAAGCTTTGACAGAACTGGTGCTGAAAGTGGTTAATGAAAGGCGTGCATCTCAATCCGAGCCTTTGCCGTCATTGGTTGCAAATTCCGATGCTATACCAAATTCATCCAGCGAAACTCCAGAGCACAAACGTTCCCCACCGACACTTCAAGTATCGTCAGGGTTGAGTTCTCGTTCGATGTCTCCATCGCTATCACCTTTACTCACAACTCGTGCATCACTGCAAAGAACAGAATCCACTGGTAATGCCGCGATGCGACAACCCGTTTCCGGGGATGGAGGTGATGACGATTCATTTGTAGTATGGACTGCTGCCAGGAAACGTACTTTCGATACCGCGAGATTTTTCTACGACAAAGGAATAAACGTCAGGCAGAGATCTCAATTACAACAGTTGCACCCGGGTGTCGTTGCGGACATGGAAGAATCAGAGGTAAGGGCAAAGTATCCTGAAGAATACAAGGAATGGATTAAAGATCCCTATCACTACCGTTTCCCACGCGCTGAATCTTACCACGACCTGGCGGTGCGTATGGAACCGCTACTACTGGAAATGGAAAGAATGCGGGGTGATATCCTGGTAATCGGCCATGAATCTGTGCTAAGGGTACTTTATGGCTATCTAATGGCATGTTCGTGCCCTGATATTCCGAGCCTCACATTCACAAGGGACGAGCTAATTGAAATATCCTTTAGTCCTTTCGAGAACAAAGTCAGGAGAGTGCCAATTGTATACGAGTAACCATCAAAATAATGACCTCAGATAACATATATTCAAAAGGATTTAACGTAGATTTTCAGATGCCAATGGGGATCGAACAAATGCAAGACAAAAAGTGTCTATCTTTACAAATTTTTCTTGGTCAACGATTCTTTCTTGTGCTTTGCGGAGAGATTTCTAAGATTCCAAGCTTCATACTCTTCTTTCAAGCTCAAGGAGCTAAAATTAAAGGAATCTTTAACCCACAAGCGTTGGACTATTCGCCACGACATTAGCCAGTCCACAATGCCTAAATAGCGCACAATACCAACCGCCAGGTAATACGAAGATCCTAAAAATCCTCCCAGGGCAATTCCAACACTCACTTGGGCCACAGAATGGTATCCCAAGTATATGCGGGATAATGCTACCATTGCTGTGGTCAAGACTGCGGCTAAAATACTTAGGGTTTTTCGAACGCTGCCAATTCCTTCCCAATGCAAGACCAATTTCAGCGACCAATACGCAAGAAAGAACCCCATGAATTGCGAGTGTGCACTGGGCATCCCATATGCCGATCGTAACGTATCCTTTTGGAAAGAGTTTCCAAAAGACGCCGGACGCTGTTCTTTAATAATGTTTTTGAGAATATTGTTCAGGATCTCGTTGATCAATTGCCCGCCTGCGATAATCACGGCTTCCAGCTCTCTAGTGGCTAAGAACCACGAGAAATAGAAGATCAGGATACCAATTGGAAGCAATGAAAAGTATACCAATACATATGCTAGTGGATCTGAGGGATCATACAGTATATACGTATCATCAAATGGTATCAAAATAGGATCAGAAACCAGCTCGCTCAGGTTCATAACTCGACTTGACTAGCTTTAGTTCTTATATATAATTGAATACCCGCGCTGTTCGCGTCAATCTTATGTCTTCGTGAAGATGTTGAATTGCAGGTTCGTTGATGTCGTTTTATTATTTAAAGGCATTTTTATAAACTTGACAGAGTTTTGATGTTTGACCAAAAACAGACTGTCATTCGAGAATACGAACGATATTCGAGCCTGAAAAAACCATCGTTCTTATTAGTCTAGTTCGTGTGTATCATTAAAGTCGTAAGTGGGAATTGAATAGCTTCGAAGAGGCCAAAAAGGTAACTGAACAGTGTCTGGTATCAATTTGGTTGAAAGAGCCGGTGAGATAGAAGAAAGTAAGGGAGAAGAGGGAATAGAGAAGGAGGAGGAGGAGGAGGAGGAGTAGGGGGAGGAGGAGTCTTTAAAACTGATGAGGATGATATAAAAGTACAGGAAGGTCGGTATGCAGGAAAAATTCGGGAAAGTAACAAAAAAAAAAGAGATGATGCTTCGTAGAGTAAAAAGAGTAGAGAGAAAGAGAAGGAGGAGAGGAGGCGAGGAGGAGAGGAGAGAAGGAAAATGAGGAGGGGTGAAGATGTAGTAGGAAAGAAAGGGTCGGCGGTATCGATTATATTAGGCCAATTTGATATTTTTGCTGTTCCCTGGCCCACCTTGCGGTATCCTTGGTGGATTGACTGAAAGTAGCATTACTTCTAGTCTTCTTGATGAACTCGCTAACCCATTCTTGAGCGTAGAATTGCTTGATTCTGCCGTCAGGAAACATGGCAGCGACGTCCCCAATGATCCCGACTGCTGCTCTAGCCGTGGAGTCCTCGCTGTTGAGCGTAGGGTTGTCGGCAATGTGGCTCATGAACTGGAATAGTGTGCCCACGTAAGGAAACAGGGCATCAGGATTGGCATGAAGTCCAGCAACGGTGCCGACATAAGCATCGAGAACAGACTCGTGGATCTTGACGTTGTATTCAAGAGCCTCCAAGGACGCGTTTTCGGGTCTGCTATTCTGAGCAGCAACGCAGAGTGCCATGACCTGATTTAGATATGGAATAAAGTCGGGCCCAATGTTCGATGCAATATCGCCAAACACCGATAGCACTGCAGGTTTCAGCTCCTTCTTGGCATTGTTAGCAGAGATCATTTGGCCCAGGACGTTCATGAAAGCTGGTGCAAATTGCTTAAAATCATCTTCCAAACAATTTGAGATATCTGCAATCAAACCAACTGCGGTTATGGACACCTGCGATTGAACTTGATTCAGAGCGTTCACCAAATATGGCGAGAACGTCTCCAAGAACTTCTGAAAGCCTTTACCCAGTGCAGCAGCCAGTGAAGAGATTGCGTAGAAGACGTCGTCCTCAACGTAGGAAGTATCCTTTTTGTCGAGTAGTTTGATAAAAAGATCCATCAACATGTCAGAGACTGAAGTCACGGAAGCAGGGTTCTTGCGAATCACTGCCGACAAAACGCTCAACACATTAGACTGGAGTTCTTCCAGATTTTGCTTCTCCTCAATATTGAGTTGAGTCTCATCAACCGTCATGGTTTGCCCTAGTTTGTCCAAAATGAATGATGATATCGAAATGGCCGAATCTGCGACTTGATCGGTAGAGAATTCAACCAACGTAGTCAGAGCGGAAAAAGCAGATGCACGGGCACTGTTTTCGTTATCGGTACGATTGGCTGCCTTTATTAGTGCCTCCACTAAAATAGGATAATAGTTGTAAATAGGAGAGCCTTGAGCGTCGGCCATTTGTTCGACCAAATTGATGATAGTCCATGCGCAATTAGTAGCCACTTTGGGATGATCTTCTAGACCCTGCAAACAGGCCTGTACGACATCGGGTAAATGTGTTTGTGGGTCAATAGCGCCAACGACTAGGTCTGCAATACGACCAGTACACCATGCAACAGTTTCTTTCACTTGCAAAGATTGATCTTTCATTAGGTTCAGAATGGGCGGGAGGGCTTGGTGGATCAAGTTAGTCAGCTGAACTTTATCAGGCCCATCCAAGATCGAACCAAAGGCCATGACTGCGGCTTCACGATTTCTCCAGTTTTCATTAACGATATTCTGTTCAACGTAGCGTAACACAGGCTCAACCACATAATTGCCACAGTTTTGTGCAAAAAGCTGCAAACAAGCGCCTGAAGACATGGCTACATTCCAATCGTCATCTTCTGCGTCTTCATTCTGCCGTGTCAGAAGATTTAAAAGGTTTGGAATAACTTCTTGAATTGAAGTAAGCGCGAAGTTGAAGCTTTGCAAAGGTGACTGTGGGAATTGGGCTAGTTCATAAGCAATGTCAATTTCTTCTTCACAAATGGTGGACCAGAATTCGACAGCCATCGATGCAACTTTTTCGTCTTGAGATTGCATGGTGGACACGGTCAAAGCATACAGGGCTTGCTCCATGTAAGGTTTCATGAGGAAATAGTACAATGACATGATCTTGCACAAACAACCAAAGGCTGCAGCCTGTATTTCGGAGTCATCAGTCGTTTGAGTAGCTTCGCAAACCACTTGCATGAGGTAGTTGCGTTCTCCTTCTCTTTCCATGTTGTTTTTGATAAAAGCGAGGGAATCAGCAAGAGCGTTGAGTGCAGTCAACCTTACGGCTTTGGAGGGTTCACTTGCCTGAGCACCTTGAACAATAGCGATCAAAATGTTATTCGATTGAGCAACCAAGCTTTCAGAGCCAGGATTTGCAGCTTCGCAGATATAGCCCAAAGCTAGCAAAGATGCACGTTTAATGTTCTCCGGTTGTTGAGCTGCGGTATTATCAACCATGATCTTCATCAAATCCGGCCAGTCATTACGTGGAAGTTCAATTGTCGCAATGGCAGCGATCAATTGAGCAGATGCATTTGCCACACGGGGTTCTGGATCCGCAAGACCCGACAACGCATAGTTACGGATCGCGCTTCGTGACTGTTCATCCACTTGTGAAACCCATCTCTGCCCCAATTGTTGCGTTTTAACCGAATCTTTACTGACAAGCTCATTTTTGACTGTAAGAGCAGCCAAAATACGAGCTTCAAGTCTGTTGTTTGCGTCGCCCAAAACAAGTGCTAGCAACCCAACATACTGCAGAAAGTTATCATTTGACAGTTTTTTCAACTGTGTCTCGCATTGTAAACGTACCGTTGCATCGGGACTCAGAATTGTCTGTTCTAGCACTTGAGCAAGTTGTGCAGCTTCTGACATGGTAGTGTCAAATTGAATGAAATGTCTTTAAACGAAGTCAAAGAAACGCGCGTCAAGCGTCAAAAAAACACCAAACCTCTTTATCGAATGATTCTCAGAAACTGTAGCCCGGTGTAGCTACTTAAAAGCAGAACGGAGCTTCCGGGGCTGCTAAGAAAATGCTCAAAAAGGGGGGCCTTCAAATGGGTCCAAAAGGCCGGAAAAGAGCTGCTAAACTTGTAACCGGTTTTCGCAATTGCCACGCAGAGTTCGTGACAGTCCAGTGGAGGTCAAAGCTGTGAAATTGAAGCTAAGTTGATGCTTTTTCTCGGTTGTTGAAAGAGGGAAGACGTTCAACACAAACTTGAAAAATCTTTGGGAAATGAATGTGTAGTGTTGTACGAGGTGGCAAAAGTTGGGATAAAGGAAAAGAACGACGGATAAGAAAAAAGTGACAACACTTGGGTGAAGATATAGCGAGTGTGTGAACATAGCGGGAGAGCACAGGAGAAGATGGTATAGTCCTGAAACGTAGAGATTGCGCATCTTCAAAAATCTTCCATTTTAATTGAGATTCATTGTATCACGTAATACGAAACATTTCATCAAAAAAACCTCTCAAATTTCTTCACCCCATAGCCTGAGTTTCAAGTAAAATGGGCAAGCCACAACTGTTTCCTCGACCACCTCTACGTAGTCTCCAGCTATAATCTTTACTCTCTCCTTCTTCTGTCTTTCACTTTACCTTCGTTATATTATATATTGGCATAAAATAGATATACTTTTATACGTAGCGATCGGTTCAGGACCACACACTTCACTGGTCCTTGGCCTGCAACTCATCAACAAAGGCAATGTATTCCTTCTCAGCATCCTCTTGACTCTTGCCCTTGTTGGCTTCCCATGCATCCCATTTATATTTGTCCTTGAAATTTAGGGCACTTGGACGCGTGGTGGTGTTGTCGCCAACGGTAGCTTGCTTGAAAAGCCCGTAGAGCTTGAGCAAATCGTCGTTCGAGGGGGTAGAAGACAATTGTTTGACGGCCTGGGCCTTTTGTTCGAATGCTTGCGAGACCATTGGACGGGTTTTTGGAGTGCTTTGATGAATCGTGAGGGATGGTAAAAAGTGGTGATGGATTTGTTGAGAGACAGGTTAAGGGCAGAATCGTATTTATATATGAGACAAGGTAGAAGAGTCACGTGCGGCTCAACGGAACACCGTATAAGTTTCGGTTGTCAAAGAAAGAAGATTTAAGGGCCGTTGAGAACCGCACAGAGCGAGCTAGGGTTTCTAAAGTGTGACGTGGCTTTATGTTACCAAATGAGAGAGAAAAACGGTGAGAAATAGTGGGGTCGTTGAGTCAAAAGCCGAAGAGTCGTTATGCACGGAGGGCCTTTCTTAGGAAACTTCCTCCCTCCATAACCACCAAACAGCGTCCCCGGGTGTCAATTTTACGAATGTGTTTGTTTGGTTTAAGTGTTTCAGGAGGGTTGCCACGCAGAACCGCACATTCAGATATCATCAGCGTGATATAAACATACTACACCGAAAATGCACTGTTATAGGGGCTCAGGACATGCTCCAAACTGAGGGTACCCGTTATGCATGCAAGACTGACACGAATTCCGTCAAGTCTGTACAGGTGGCCTTTCGTACCAAGATGTCAGTTGTTATCACTTCACACGAAATCTATAATTTTCCACACGCCCTTTTTGATGACCCCAGAAGATCGCATCCCAAGCGGGTCCCTCTGATGAGCTGCTAGCATGTCTCTCACATCCTTGATACTCTCTCAACTACCCGCATTACTTGTGGCTTCCACTACATGTGATCTTTCTCCCAGGCATTTCGAGATCGCTATGTACGAAAACTGCATATCTATCATTAAAACTAATTACAGTTCAGATCCAGGCCCCTACCAACTAGTATAAAATATCCCATCTCGAATTCAAAACTAGAACCTCCGCCTCAAAGACTTCAGGTACGCTGGAAGACAGGATTTGAGAACCATTCACTTTATCAGGAATTTGATCCTCAAAACTCATCCGCGCGAGTCATCTAAAAACCAGATTCTGTTTTTCCGCACCACTCCCACCGTTACAATTTTCCAGGTTCGTTCAAATACCGACAACCCGAATCAGACCACCAAACCAAAAAAACTCAATATTGCATCCGTCTCTCTGGTAAGATGACAGAAACAGCTTCTCCACCAACTCTCAAACGAATGCCCTCGGGTGGAAATCCTAACAACAACCTGGAACCGGTCAAAGACCGGCGTAGAAGAAGATCGTCGAGTATCATTTCACACGTGGAGCCAGAGACGTTGGAAGAAGAAAACGACCAGCAAATGCTGCCCAACATGAATGCATCGTGGGTCGACCAACGTGGTGCTTGGGCCGTGCACGTCGTCATAATCATGCTACTCAAGGGGTTTTTCAATTTGCTTCCTGGCCTTACCAACGAGTGGTCGTGGACGCTGACCAATACTACATACGTGATAGGCTCCTACGTCATGTTCCATCTCATCAAAGGCACACCTTTCGACTTCAACGGAGGTGCCTACGACAACCTCACCATGTGGGAACAGATCAACGATGGCATGCTCTACACTCCGAGCCGTAAATTCCTCATTTTGGTACCCATAGTGCTCTTTCTCGTGAGCACTCACTACTCCCGCTACGATCTTCAGCTTTTCATCCTGAACTTTTCTCTAACAACGTTTGTGGCCGTGGTGCCCAAACTTCCTCTCACGCATAGGCTCAGAATAACCATTCCATTTCTAACAGGCCCGGCTCAAATCAAATGATACCATCTTCGAAGCCGCTACTTTTCCTGGTCATATATGGTTACTAGATATTGTGGCTATACACAGTATGTATATATCTTCTATCCGCCAACAATCTAAACTTTCTTTTACTAAAACCCAGCCTCCATCGGCTGATAATCTATTTGGCGTCGCTACTCACGTCGTGGTAAACGTCGAAACGCGTTTGTACTGTCACTGGGATTTTGCTGCGCATCGCTTCAATTCTTGCAGGGTCTAATTCGGCGTATACGATCTCTTCGCCTTCTCCAGCTTCGACTACCACAGTTCCTTGTGGGTCCACCACTAAACTGTGGCCGTAGGCCTGATAAGCGAGATCCGGGTTTCTAGCAGGGCAACACAGGATGGTATAGAGTTCGTTGTCAACACTGCGAGCTCTGGCCAATAAATGCCAGTGCAAAGGCCCGGTTGTGGTGTTGAATGCACTAGGGTAGACCATGGCAAAAGCACCTTTTCTGCCACTCACGGTGGCTAATTCCGGGAACCGCAAGTCATAACAAACACCTACCCCCAATTTGCCAAATGGGGTGTCTACCGTTGTGGTAGTGTCTCCACCAGAGAATGTATCGCTTTCTTTGAACGTGATTCCGCCTGGGATGTCGATGTCAAAAAGATGCACCTTACGATGACGCCCGATCAATTGCCCCGTTTTATCGAAAATCAGGCAGGTGTTGTAGACGTTGTTGGTGGCGGGCTCTAGCTCAGGAATACTTCCTCCGACCAATGTGATCTTATGCTCGCGAGCAAGATCACTTAAAAACTTGACTGAGGGAGAGGAGTATTCGATAATTTCAGCGTTTTTGCGAAATTCGCTGTTGGCATATGTGGAATTGAAGCATTCTGGTAATACTACAAGCTCCGTTGCAGGCTGAGTCTTCATGGCCTGAGCCACGAATTTCTTACAATTTTGAAAGTTAACGGTTTTTTCGGGCAATCCGCTAGCAAACTGGATCAAAGCGACCTTAACCTTGCTCTTTAAAACACTCATTTTCTGTTGCGAATTAGTGGTGAGGTATGAACTGAACCGAGTAGTGGGAAAGTGATAAACTGGCGCAAATGTTTGATCCTCTTAACATCAGCCTTATAAAGAGCTCTCAAAGGTTCTATTTTACAGTCTTTTTACAGACTGGGACGGAACGGTGATAATTGCGGTGCTAATGGCTCTACAGTGTGCGAAAATTAATTGAAATGAAGTTGGTGGGTTTTTCTCATAGTGCGTAAAATAAGATCGCTCGCTCTCAATTAACCTGTACTGCCATCGATTTGTAATAGGCTTCTGATTAGATAGCCGAGTGGAGGAACGACTAGGGAAAGTTCCCAAAGATGAAGATTCGTTGGGAGATGAAGGAGCTAAGACATATAAGAGAAGCGAATGCTTTGATATGCGATGATGGAAACGAGACACCTCATAACTTAGCTGTGTGTTAGGTAAATTTAAGGGCTATGAGTTGGTGTCACATGCGTACGAAATGATATGAAGATTCGCAATCTTTGAGACATCTAACACTACATAAACGCTCGAAACCAGAACCAGCACTCTAATGGTGGTGATTGGACTCTTACTGATGCTTCTTCCCATTCCCTAGACGTCAAGCTTTAACAAGGACGGCGCGTTGTTTATGAATTTTTTCTAGTTTTAGACCAGTTGTCATATATTGAGTTCCACTAAATCACGATAACTAACCTCAATCGAATGTGAAGCTGACGAAACAATCGAAACTTGGCCAAATTCACGCTGCTGCAAATGGTAAAACATCTAAAGGCTCCACCAACCCACAATTGGGCTTCTATCACTATTTCTGACACAGACTTCTTTCACGTGCGTTTCACGCCCAAAGCACGTGATGATACAATATAATTTCAAACTGGCCTTGGCATCATAATCCACAGTGAAAAGTTACGAAATGTTTCATTCACATTTTCGAACATCAAGTATAAAATCCCTCGAAGGGTACTTCAGTTTCCGTTTCCTACAAGCGCTACTTGTCCAGAGTGAGGTTCGCCGGATACTGGGACTTTTCTTGCAGCGGAATCGGTTTTTGTTCGGGCCTTCTGTAAAGAGATATCAGGTTGCACCTAATTTTGGATTCATTCAATGGCTCGCACGATCACATTCGACATTCCGTCGTGCTACCAATTGGTGGAGCTTATTGGAGAAGGGGCATACGGGACGGTCTGCTCTGCCGTTCATAAACCTTCTGCAACGAAAGTGGCCATCAAAAAGATTCAACCGTTCAGCAAGCCCATGTTCGTGACAAGAACATTGCGAGAACTCAAACTTTTGAAACTTTTCCATAGTCACGAAAATATTATTAGCGTACTAGATGTGGTGCGACCACTATCGATGGATAAGTTTCAGGCCGTGTATCTGGTACAGGAGCTGATGGAAACAGATCTGCACAAGGTTATCAACGGCAGCGGGTCCCGGCTTACAGACGATCACATTCAGTACTTCACGTACCAGATTCTGCGGGCTTTGAAGGCAATTCATAGCGCTCAGGTCATTCATCGCGACATCAAGCCCTCCAACCTGCTGCTCAATTCCAATTGCGATCTCAAAGTATGCGATTTCGGGTTGGCACGTTGTTTGGCGTCTAGCACCCACTCTCGTCAAAATCTCGTGGGTTTCATGACAGAATATGTTGCAACACGGTGGTACAGAGCCCCAGAAATCATGCTGACGTTTCAAGAGTATACCACGGCTATGGATATTTGGTCTTGCGGATGCATTTTGGCAGAAATGATCACGGGGAAGCCTCTTTTCCCCGGTCGGGACTATCATCACCAACTGTGGTTGATCTTAGAGGTGCTGGGCACCCCATCGTACGAAGATTTCGAAAACATCAATTCGAAGCGGGCCAAAGAATACATAGCCAATTTACCGCTACGACAGAAGCTGCCATGGCCAGTGGTCCTGCAGACCCAAAACCTGAACCCACTTGCAGCGGATTTGCTAGACAAAATGCTTACGTTCAACCCGGACAAACGTATAAGTGCAGCCGATGCCCTCAGCCATCCGTACTTGCAGGTGTACCACGATCCGGAAGACGAGCCTGTTTATCCGCCGTTGAACTTGGACGATCCGTTTTGGAAGATTGATAACATCATAAAGCAGCCTTCTGAGGAAAGCGAGCTCTCCATGGACACCTTGAAGCAAATGCTTTTCGAAGAAGTTGGGAAACCTTTACAGTGACCAGAAAAGCTTCCAGGTTTTTCCCAACGTGCATATCTTCACATCTTACTCTACATAGTTTGCACCCATTGATGGAGTATCCAAGCCCTGAGGTCTAGGTTAGTTCTGTTTTATGTTTGACGTTTTTAAGGCATTTATTTAGCATTTCATCTCATCTCATCTCATCTCATCTCATCTTGTAAGAGCTGTAGAAACTTAAGTTCACCTGCGATCTTGACAAGAAAAGCATCAGAAGCGGCCATGATTCTGCCACCAGAGATAGTATATGAGGTACTGACATTCCAGTTTTATGACCTGATGTCGAATGACCATCCAAGCACTCCAGAAAAGTTCTACTCAAACTTACGAATATTTCTGCGGAGTAACCTTACAGTGAACAAGACTTTCTACCATATCTGCCGGGTTTTGCTGTATCGATACCTCAACTTTACGTCCGCTAGAGGGTTTTATAAACTGTTAGAAACGCTAAGAAACAGTCCCGAAGTTTTGCGCTATATCGAAGTAGCAGACTTCCAGGAACTAACGTCTATTGGGCTAGGAAGGACAGGTGAAATGAACAAAAGCATCAAGAATCTGACAAACGAGACACTATGGGAGTTTTTGGGCTACACACGCAACAGTCTCAGGGAGTTTCTGGCCAGTGAACACATTCAGGCAGATCTAGACGAACGCATCATCAATTTTCTTCTGAAACCAGGTACAGTTCTCAGCGTCGTTGATTTTTGTGGCTGTTCTCAGGATAGCTTCACCAGCACATTTTCCACTGCGGTACAGCAACTCTATAACAATGATGAACCAATTGCGTACAATTATCAAATGACAGCTCTTGGCTTGAATGACTGCACGACTATTGAGCCCAAAACGTTGGGCCGGCTTTTAATGACCCTCCCAGAGCTCCAGAAACTAGACCTCACTCGCACTGCAATTGATGACCGTACGCTCATCAGTGATGTCCCGCATTTGAAGCATTTAACGCATTTATCGTTGGCAATGTGCCATCAACTTACTCCTAGAGGAGTCTTGGAGTTCTTCAGTTACCACCCCGCAATAACGGACAAAGATAACATTTCGACTTTACAGTGGCTCAACGTTCAAGTTCATTCTCACTCCTCCTCTTGGACCGACGTACAACTGATGTTTCTACTGAAGAAGCTATGTTATTATGGCCATAACAAAACCCTGCAGTATCTTAACGTTGGAGGCATGCCAATGCACATCAACGATGATATAACTGCTGTGAGATCCTCGCATTACTGGCAATGCCAGGACACGCTTCAATTCATTAAGCTCAACTTCCCGCAGCTGAAAAGTCTAAGCATCAGAGACAACAACATACCCATTCCCAAGCTAACCCATTTCCTGTCTCCACTTGAAAGCAAAGAAGTTCCAAATCAGCATTTGAAGTTTCTCAACATAGTCAACAATTCTTACATCAACAGATGGAGTATACAGGATCCTGCCATCTTTTCTCATTCAAAAAGTTTATGTGCTCTTGAGATGTCGTTTGACCCTTGGCAGCAAATCGAGGCATCTAACCCGAGGCATGAAATCAATTGTCGATTGTCCAACGGCTCCTCGCTATTTCAGGACTATTCTGCGGCGCCGTTGGTCAAATGGAAATGTTACATCGGATCCGCATATGGCAGAAGACACTGGATTTACAGAACTGACGACTACCTTAACCGGGACGATTTGGAAACCAAAGGGTTTTTGACCAGATACGATACGCAAGGGAATAAGATTATTGACATTGTGAAACATCCTGACTTTTTGAAGTTTGCCCAGACCAAGATCATGCTTGGGTGTGGATTGGTCGCTAAAAGTCGAGGTCGGAGAAATCTCACTTATCGGGACCATAAACCAGCAGTATCTCGTTTCCTCAACAGAAATAAGGATCTGGAAATTAGTCCAGTAATCGAATCACCTCAGGAAACTCCGGTGTCCCTGCCCGGTGGATGGAGAGTGATTGATAACGACCACAACGAGGAGCCCGAAATTAGCGTTCCGGAAGAAAGCGCCGATATGACACCCCCAAATTCAAGAAGCGGCCTGTATTGGGATCGTTCAATTACGAACCTACAAGAACAGGTACCACCGGTTGAAACAGACGCTGATTATTTTGATAGCCCGGAGTTGCAACGCCGTAGGTCAGCGTTGAGTTTGCTGAACGGCCATTTTGGCGGTAGACATTCGCTTGAATCCCGGAGAACCGAAATGGACATTGCAAGACTTTTAGGATCCAGTGGCACTCACTTGTTGGAGCGTTTATCGCGCAGCGAACTTGGCGAGTACTCGGAGACATATCGCATGCACCTGGTAGTGGCCACCGAGTACAACGTGTTTGGATGTTTGGAGCGTGGCATGTACCGGTACTACAGTTTGAAATCGTGATATCGAAAGCTTCGGAAAGTAGTTATTGGCGTGCAACGACGAGTCTATGAAATCTGAAAAAAAGAGGATCCAAAAAACAGAGTTGAAAATGCATCAGTTTCGAAAGACGATACCGCGACCATTCTGTTATAGTGAAAACGCCAAGTAAGTTAACGTTTTGAAGAAAATCAAAACCCACACGGGTTACAGGAACGCTGTATGCTGAGCTACAAATATGAGATATCGAAACGTATGCACTCGGTCCAGTGTGTCCAGAAGACGCTCGTTATTCGGTGCCGCGCGCCACCAGAAACAAATCCAATCTGCGCCACCACGATAGCCAATGACAGTGCAAAGTGTTGTTTTTCAGAATAAGCTTCTCAATGACAGCGTAATTCCCCAGAATTTCAAGAGGCGATAGAAACCCAGCAAGAGTGTCTATCATATCTGAAAATCATCCTCTGTCAGGGCAATCGATTACGCTACAATTTAAACTATCCTTTATTTTCCCGTCGTCGTGGTCCCAAAAGTTCTCGAGCTTCTCGAGGGCCTCGAGCTTTATTGACCATTCTCATATGTTAACCCAATTGGGATATCGTTAACGACGAAGGAAGCCGGTTTGTTTACGGTGAAAAATGTTAATTAAGCCATCAGTTCAGGAATGGCATCGATGAGAGGGCATCGATACCACGATTCAGCTAAACTAGAAGCTCTGGTGACTCAATTGGCCACACAGGAGAACCTGGAATTTGAGTTGGTATCACTAAGACACCTTTGCTGACTTTTTTTGGGCTCTGTAGCCTTATTTTTTTGGTCAGAAAACTGAAGACTTTCTTACGGTTCAATATCAAGAGAGCTCGAGCTGGATCTCGAGATCAAAAGGTTGGCTGCGGAAAAGAAAGCTCGGTCTTCAAGATCTCAGAAACACAGCTTTTTGACGCATCTTGGTATGGGCCCGATACGACAACAATTCGTCAATTGGTAATTTTTCAATATATCTGATTAACATTTTAATATGTCCCATAACCAAGACTCCAGCGCTGATACTAGCGGATCTTCGGGCTCCACTGACGATCAGATATGGCTGGCGGGTCAGGAGGCACCGCCAAAACCGGATTCATATTTTAAGGAGTCGTTTGAGCCATCAACTGACTCCGGAGCACCTTCTTTGAGTGTTTACGTTGATTACGCCAGGCTTTCGGACCTGGGCGACAGCTCTGGTCACTCTGAAAGCCCCCATGAGCATAGCGAAGCGTCGGAGGGGGTTCTGTTACAAGAACCGCCCATGCGCAGTCCTCCCAGGGGTATTGCAATGAAGAAAAGTCGGCAAGCTTTGCAGAACCCAAAAGTACCGGCCCTGCTTCACAATCAAAGCACAGATACTGTGAACACAGATCTTCTGGGATCTTCGGATAAAGCAAGTGTAGCTAAAAGTCGAGTTCTGAGCGGAAATAGCTCAGATCGCGAGTATGCGAACAACGACAATTGGGGAAATGACCTGCCACTCAGACCATTGAAACACAGACCGCAGGATCCTGACCGTGATAGCCGAAGAACTGTTTCTACCTCGCTACTCGAGGCAGACAGTTTAAGAAGATCATCTAACATATCACGACCAGATGCCAGGTCATCCTCTCACTACGGGGACGACAGTGCTGCTAATTTTGACGTGGCGGCCACGCCAATCGTCCCAGTTTACCACGAAATTACGGAAGCTAGTGAGGAAGACAGCGACAAGAGTTTCGAAAAGGGATCGAATCCATCCATTGAGGAAGCTGTGCGTCTTTTCAGACAAGAGGCATCTTTTGTTCCTGTTGTACAACTCACAGAGCCAAGGATTGCCACGGCACCGTCTCTAACTGTGTCAAAGAAAGCTTCACAAAGCTCCTTACAGAGTCATGTTAGTGACCGGACATCGCAATACTCCCAAACACGGAAAACGAGAAGGGGACCGCGACATTCATCTTTACTCACTTCTATATTAGTGGCGCCGCATTACAAACCAGACAAACCAAAACCTGCGATCAGAAGGGTGCCTCAAACTATACCTGTGCTTCGTAAACCCTCAGCGAGTAATCATCACCCAAAGAGGGATAAAGCCAAGAATCTAGACGAAAAAGAAGTTGTCAAGTCAGACACAGCTCTCGATCCAGAAAAAGTAGCAAATCCTTACCGAGAAACGCACGATGACAATTTGCAACAAATATATCAATATCGGGATGCCCTAGCCAACAAAGATTTGGAAAAACACAGATTTCCTGCTCAGTATATTGATTCACCATCTGAAACATCGAGCAAGTCAAGCGCTGGTCAATATAAAGACATGTACAGTGTCTCGCGGATTATTTGCGTGTTACTGGTTTGCACTCTCGTGCCCCCTTTGTATTTCATCATTGGGATCGGACCGCTGCGTTGTCTGCCAGACAAAAAGTTGATGAAAATGATAATGAACGAGGAATACCGGAAGGGAATTTTGGAAGGATTTATATGGAAGGTAAACCTACGATGGTTTCGCACTTTGTGCTTGCTGTTGGGGGTTTTGGAACTTTTGATAATTTTGGCCTGCATAGGAATTGGATTTGGCATTGGGCTATCACGTCAATGATAGGGTTTATATACCCAGAGTTTTTCGAAGCACGAAAAAAGCTATCGATTGAAGAACACTGGAATCTTTGCATTAACGTTGCATCATCCTTACGGGTGACCAAGTGATCGTGAATATAAACTTACTTCGGATTAAGTTCGCAAAACATTGTTCAGACGCCGCAAATCTCCTTAAAACGCATCCAAGGACTCTCCTAGCACATCCAGCGCGCTTCAGTGATTGCGAATGACTGTAAAAATGCTCATTCCATGAATGTGTGCCATGAAGTAATTTTTCATTAGTGATATTCATTGATGGTCTAGTTCGAGTCAAGTTAAGCATGTAAAACAAGTAAAGCAATTAGAACAAGTGACATCGTTTGTAATTCACATTGCTCGTCATTTCAAGCTCTCAAAATCCCTGGTTTTTGAAAGTAATCCGAACGCACCTTCATTTTCACATCTAACTGCTCGTGTATATATAAAATACCGACCTTCAATTAACCTTCAATACTCTTTCATCAAAGAACATAGTTTCGAAACTTGCCAGAAAGCGCTGGACGTTAATGGCAACATACGGTACTCAAATCTCGCATGTACGGGAGTACTATTGTCAGTACACAGATCAAATACACAAGAAACACAAGTCGTGGCATGATGGAACCATGAAATTTTACCAACTTAACCATAAATTCCAACTTTTCTCAATAGATGGAGGAATGCTGCTGGGCAGTACAATCATAACGAATTCTCGTCGCGTGGAATATATTTTGGATGCCAATGGGTTTAACAAGGAGGAACACAAGATTTTTGGTCAATTTCTTGTGATGATAGATCGCTTACAGTGTGAATACGACAGAGACATCAGTGGGAAAGCGAGGAAAACTTCAGCTTCTTACAACGTCAAGAAATACATCGAAGATGTGGGCCATCCAGAGAACGGTAACTCGAATCCTAGCAATACTTCAACTCCCGTCGTTCGCCATAACGATAGTCTGGCTTTGAAGTTTAACAAACCGTTTCGACGACCACTTGCAAAACGACCCCAGAACAAAGTGCCAGTAAAACAGCGAGCACTCACGAGTTCCAAGCCAGTTTATAACGAAAAAGGCCTGGAACTGAACACGCCAGTGTTGAAAAATGAAAAGTCCTATTCCACGATAGAGAATGCGCCTGTATCGCTTACAATTGACATGTCAGGATCCAAGAAATCTATTAGAGCATCCAGGTTTCATTCTGGAAACCAAGATCAAACTGAACAGCTACTGGATCTCAAAGTCACATCCAAATTGAATAAAAAGTGCCCGAATCACAAGCTACAGCGACAATTGTCATTACCAGAGACAAAACCAATCGAACCCATATCACCCACGCTAAGAGCGGCAACGCAATTCAGGGTTCATCGGAAAAGCATTTTATTGAAGCACGATCCTATCGTGCTCGGAAAACGACATAGCATCAACAAATGAACATGCTTTTCAAACACTTTCATTGAAAACTATATAACTCTATATATAAAAAGCGACAGTTATGATGAAATAGTTTGTTCAAGTTAGTCTAGACATTCGTGAATTCAAGTTTTATTCATCTCAAAGTATTTCATTAAAAACCCTTAATGGTGTGTGTGGTCTTGTCCAATAGGGTGAATGATTCAAGCCTGTTGAATCTTGGTCTCAATCAAGTCGAACAAAGTGACAATGTCGGCAGAAAACTTTCTGATACCTTCGGACAACTTCTCGGTGGCCATTGGGTCTTCGTTCAAGTCGAATCTGAAAGCAGCTTCGTCGTTGATGAAAGAAACCTTGCTGTCACCGTCGGCCTTGGCGGACTCTGGGGCCAAAACTTGAGGAACAGGTTCCTCAGAGTTGATAAGCTCTTCCAACAAGTTTGGAGAGATGGTCAAAAAGTCGACACCGGCCAAAGCGCGGATTTCGCCGGTGTTTCTGAAACTGGCACCCATGACAATGGTGTTGTAGCCGTGTTTCTTGTAGTAGTTGTAGATCTTCTTAACGGAGATCACACCAGGGTCGGTCTCGGCGGTGTATTCTTGCTTCTTGCTGTTCTTGTACCAGTCGAGGATTCTGCCCACGAATGGCGAGATCAAAGTGACCTTGGCCTCGGCAGCGGCGACGGCTTGGCCGAACGAGAACAACAAGGTCAAGTTGACGTGGATGCCGTACTTCTCCTCCAATTCCTTGGCGGCCTGGATACCTTCCCAGGTGGAAGCGATCTTGATCAACACACGTTCTTTGCTGATGCCGAAGGATTCGTACAACTTGATAATGTGGAGAGCCTTTTTCACGGTGGCTTCTTTGTCAAAAGACAAACGGGCGTCGACTTCAGTGGAGACACGACCTGGCACGATTTGCAAGATAGCCTTACCGAATTCCACCAGCAACATATCGACGGCGTTTTCGGTTTGTTCTGCTAGCGTGGAGCCGCTTTTCTTACCGTACTGGACGGCGGTGTCGATCAGCTTGGCGTATGTTTCTTTTTGAGCGGCAGCCAAGATCAACGAAGGGTTGGTGGTGGCATCCTGAGGGGTGTATTTGGCGATAGATTCAAAGTCACCGGTGTCGGAGACGACAACGGTACCGGTAGCCTTTAGCTGTTCCAAAGAGTTGGATTGCTTTAGCTTCTTTTCTTGAGGAGGAACCATCTTATATGAGGTATTTTTGGTGTTGGTTTTGTTGAGGAATATAGACAGAGTTGATGATCTGCTTTATAGTGAACCGTTACGGTAATGAATGGGACTATAAAGTACTGATAGTTTGCTAAGTGGAAACTATCTAGTTGATATTCTGGAGGATTAAGAAGAAAGTAAGAAGTAACATGGGTTAAAGAACCCCTAAGTAGATCTCTTGTCCTTTTTATAGTCACAGACTTGAGGGAAAAGAAAAAAAGGGTGCATGTGACGCTTGTTGTTCCATGAGGTTCCATGAATTACGTAATCAATAGCATCATGACCGTTAGAGCACGTGCGGATTACATAAGCGTAGCAAAAAGCCAACATCCAGACCTTTTGCGAATCTTAGCTTACAATTAGGTAGTAAAACGGGTTGCAAAGCGGGTTACAAAACGGGTTACAAAACGGGTTACAAAACGGGTTACAAACGGGTTACAAACGGATCACAAACGGATCACAAAACGGATCCTACCCGATTTTGAAAAGCGGATACTTTTTTGAGATCGTTCATCGATCAGTTGTAGACGACTAGAGGAACGATCCGAGGATTGAGTCACTTCTCGAAGACAAGTTCATCAAGTCGGTCAACGTCAGATTCGTGCTGTAGTGACTTAATGAACGAACTGGTATAGGGTGTCTGCAACCACTAACGAATATCGATAGAAACTATACTTGATGAAGCAGACTTCGCGAGAGAAGATTAAGTCTCAGCTTTTCGTAACTCAATGAGGTAAAGGCTAATTAATCAGAAGTTAGGTATTGTTTAGGTAATATCTGGTGGTGTTGAAAATTGTGTGTGTCGGGATTCTTTTCACGATGGAGCGAGCTGAACATGCCAAGTGGGGATTAGCTGTGACTGAAAAGTCCAGACTGCTTAAACACGGGACACTAGAGCTGCTTAACACAAGAAATAGATGATGCACGAAGCACGACTAACAAGGCAACTTAATTTTTGATTAGAGGGACGGGATTTTTTGTCTCAAATAGTCTTATTAAGGGCATTGAAGTTTGAGAGTAATACGATATCCATAGAATTGAAAATGCAACAAATGTCGGGATTACTGTAACAACACGTATTCTCCAGAAACTATAGCTACAAGAGATGCCGGAATTGCCCGAACCACACGTATTCTCCAAAATTCGGTGTCACTACAAGGAATGCCGGAATTACTGGAACAACACGTATTCTCAAGAAATTGTCTACAAGCGATGCAAGGATTCCTTTCACATTCACAGGTTTTTTTTTAACTATATGTTGGAAGAGCTTTGTATGAGGATCAAAGTCATGAAAGTATCGCAAATCAAAGACTTTTCCTCTTGAGTGCCGTTGAAAAAGTGAACGTATCCGAGTCACAAGCACAGTTTCCAACAGATGGCGTAAATCAACTCAATTGCATTTCGCCAATTCGCACACCGAGAAACAATTTTATCATGCTATGCGCCCTACATGAGTATCAATTCACGCTTCAAGTCAAAATGCTTAACACGCTTACGGCAAAAGCTCGAAAAAAGATGACTCTCCATTATCTGGGCTTTGAAAGATGCTTCGAGACTTTTTGAACCATTATGGGTATAGTCTATATGAAAGATACGACAATTGCTATATTCCGTCTACTGAGCCGTTATTCAAAATTTTTGCCGCAAAGTTGGCAAAAGGGGAGTATACGAACGGGAAGATCGTCTTGTTTCGAATGAAACCACAATAATTGAAATTTTTAGCCTGCTCATGGACTCTTTGAAGCACTCGGGAAAATTATCGAAGATCTCTTCCCTCAAAGTGTCCTGAAGGCTCGTCAAAAAATTCAGCGATGAGAAAAAAGCACCGGCAAAACTTTACTGCCCTTACTATGTCCCTCAAGGGTGATGGAAAATCTTTGTAAACAATTCTCAGGGTCTGTCTGGGGTGAGGCAATGCATGCAACAGTAGTGAGTTACAAAGTGGCCTTAACGTACGACAGACGCTGCTGTTCGCGAAAAGAAGAGAATCAGCTAGGGGCCCTGCTAAGTTGATGCAAAATACTTTCACGAGAAATCACTGTCTGGCATTGCAGGAAAGGGGAGTTTGAACTGAGTGTTGCAACTTGCAACTCGCGTGCGGCCTGCAAGCCATATTCCCAACCGTCAAAGAAGTGCTCACATCAGAATGTGAATTTGATCATTTTTGAAAAAGGTGGAACTTTCAAATCCGGTTGATTTTCCAAAATTAGCGGCCACCAACTTCTAGTTAGAGCATCCCTGGGCTATTATACTTATTTTTTTGGCAAACAGCTGAATGTGTTTCTCCACCGCTAAAGAAGCGTTTGCATTGTACGGTTCGTGATGGTATCAATTACATAGTTGTACTTAACTAGACACTCGGTTGAGCTTACATTTCAATGAAACCTTCAATACCGCCGAATTTGTAGGCGTCGGTGCAAATACTACTACACTCAATGTCTTCGCCAGCCTTGCCAAACCGGCGATGTAAAGGTAGCCTGCCTTAGGCTTGTTGTTTCCACGCTTATTGTTTACGCGTCTCCTACTAATTTACGCGTCTTGCCTTCTACTTGATCCTCGAGCCAGTTGTTTTTCTCATCACCGGGGCGTCACATACGTGTAGAATGACTCAAAATGTCGGAAAGGCTTTCCACGCCGGGCTTGCCAGTGAAATGAAACAAGCGAAGGCAGTAGGAAGCTTACGAGTTCGCCTTGCTTGCTCACGAATCTTACTGTGTACTACCAGCCTAGGTGAGATACATCATTGAATACGAAACATTGACCGAGATTTATAGCAATCATATCAACCTAAGGCCGTTGAGCGTGGGTATTCATGTCTCTCTCACATATTCAGAGAATCCCTTTAAAAAAACTATTCTTCTCATTTTCCATCAGGTGTTCTGTTCAGCGTCCCCTGGAGATCAGTAAAAGGTGAAGAACAAGCTGTGAATTGTACAGATGAAAACGCAGGGTTCCGCATGCTGGGAAGATCGGCGAACCACAAGATTCAGTGTAGACACCAAATAAGGATGGATGGAGCGGGTTTGGGCCTCTGGTGTGAACACAATCACTCTATACGAAATTCTTAAAAACTAGCAGTGAGTTCAGAAATGTCTTGAATGGGTTTGAAACCGTGGGGAGTTGGGATTCTCCACAGCTGGGCGGTATTTCCTGCTGTAGAGTTTAATGTTATCGATTTCTTTGCGGGATTTCAGACTTGTGATGTGCACGGTCACGTGATGTAAAAGACAGCGACAGAATTGGCTGGACTAGTAGTAAGATTGTACAGGTGAGAGCAGACTTTAAGCACACCACTACCAGTATGGTTGAAAAATTCAAAGCGACAGCGAAGATCGTGCAGATGGCTACTTTTCAAGTATAAAGGTGATCGCTAATACTTTTTAGATAGTTATTTCCGCTCTCCTTAGTTGTTCGTACGTACACTGGTTCTAGACTCAAACATCCTTCGTACATACCGTTATAAAGACCCAGACACCACCCCAGTCACGCGACAATCACGCTATAAGCACGTGTACAAAATCGAGCGCAAAACACGTGATGTCTATTTCACTCGTATACAATGACTCAAATGTCTTTTTTTCGAGTTTGTCAGCTGCTACACATCGTCAAAAATGACCGAGACTATCATGTGGTTTTTCCAGAAATGTGGCTTTCAAAATGCACTGGAAAATTGGTGAATAAAAAACCGATGAACCGATGAGTTCGAGATCGGCCACCATCTAGCGTGAGTTTTATACCGTCAGGAACCTTAGGCTTTTTAACTCTGGCTTCTTTGCTCACATCGGTGCTTCCACACTTTCAATCTTCCCTCAATGGCCGTCTCTTCTTCTGATAAATTCGCTACCAAAGCTATCCATGCCGGTGCTCACACCGATGTGCACGGCTCCGTCATCGAACCAATTTCGTTGTCAACCACTTTCAAACAGCACGCTCCCGCCCAGCCCGTGGGCCAGTACGAATACTCGCGTTCGCAAAACCCTAACCGTAAGAACTTGGAAGACGCTGTCGCCGCTTTGGAAAATGCCAAATATGGGCTAGCTTTCTCGTCAGGATCGGCCACCACAGCCGTTATATTGCAATCTTTGCCCCAAGGTTCGCACGCTGTGTCCATTGGCGACGTGTACGGCGGTACCCACCGTTACTTCACCAAAGTGGCCAACGCCCACGGTGTCGAAACCACTTTCACCAACGATTTGGTCAAAGAACTGCCTCAATTGGTTCAAAAGAACACCAAACTCGTGTGGATCGAATCCCCCACAAACCCAACCCTAAAAGTCACCGACATCGCTTTGGTCAGCGAAACCGTTCGTAAAATCGACCCGGAAATCTTGGTGGTCGTCGACAACACGTTCCTGTCGCCTTATTTGTCAAACCCGCTCAATTTCGGCGCTGATGTCGTGGTTCATTCCGCCACTAAATACATCAACGGTCATTCCGACGTGGTGATGGGCGTTTTGGCCACTAACAACGAATCGTTGCACCAAAAACTACAATTTTTGCAAAACGCCATTGGTGCCATTCCTTCGCCCTTCGACGCCTGGTTGGCCCACAGAGGTTTGAAGACCCTTCACTTGCGTGTCAGACAAGCTTGTTTGTCCGCCGCCAAGATCGCGGAATTTTTGGCAAACAGCAGCGCTGTGGAGTCTGTAAACTACCCTGGTCTTCCCACACATCCCAACTACGATGTGGTCAAGAAACAGCACCGCGATGCTTTGGGCGGTGGTATGATCTCGTTCAGAATCAAGGGCGGTGCCGAAGCTGCTGCCAAGTTCTCATCAACCACTAGACTATTCACACTTGCAGAATCGCTTGGAGGTATCGAATCTCTATTGGAAGTGCCAGCTGTGATGACCCACGGTGGCATCCCTCAGGCCCAAAGAGAAGCTAGCGGCGTCTTCGACAATTTGATCAGACTTTCCGTCGGTATTGAAGACGTTGACGACTTGCTAGATGACATCAAGTCTGCCATCGAAAAGGTCGCTGTTTGAGCGCTTGGAAAAGCTTTATAAAAACTGTTAAATATGATAAACTAACTCTCAGATAACGGTTATAAATGATCGAGGATTCACTTCTCTCATTCTTCTAAAAGGACAAGTTGTCCTATATCATCGACCTATTTCGTTAACTTGACAAAACTTTTGACGAATTCCTCAAAAACTAAGACATAGAGGGTCATTTGAGCTCGGATAATGCGTTGGATACCCTTTCTTGTAGGTGCAACAGTGGCCAACGAACTGATAACGCTTTCACCTTCGATTTCAACGAACGTCAACCCTGTCAACACCGATCAGACAAGGTCTTCTGAAGAAACGATCAACGACGACCAATTGTTCATAGGAGACGACATCATCTGCAACCAAAACGAGTGCTATCCCAAGCTTTTCGAAGCCAAAGAATACTGGCAGGAAGTAAGACCTGAACAACAGATCATAGCAGGTTTGGACGTCAAAATGGACCTAGAAACAGGACTTCGGGAAGCCAAACTCAGCTCGAAGAAACAAACCGAGGAATACGAAGATAAATCCAGTTACGAATTCAGTCAAGATTTCAACAAGATTACAGATTTGCTCAAAACTAAAGATTACGCAGCTATCGATGCTGTAGCAGACGACTTGCTGGAATTCTCCCACGATTTCAAGCACGGCTACAAGATTATCGCACACGAGTTTAGGCTTTTGAAGTCGCTACTTATGGCCCAAGATACACCATTGTCGACCAAACTAATTGTGTCTAGCATGTTGACAGCTTGTCTGCGCAACAACCCACCCGCTGTTGCGTACGTTCAAAGCGTAGACCCAGCCTTCACACAGGAAATCTTCAAAGAAGTAGCTGAATTGATAACGGAATCTTCCAAGGGCCAACGCGGGGTCTTGGTCAAGCGATACCTGTCCATTGTGCAGGCTATGTCCCTGCAGTCATCAGATCTTGACGAAACCGTTTTGCTCAAACTGTGCCATTGGGGTGATTCTCAAATCAAAAGAAGAGCTCTCGAAACTGCATCTCTGCTGTTTTCCGCAAACAACCCACAATCTTTGCATAAAAGGTCCGACCAGTCCGCACAAGATGCTCAGCAATGGATAAACGACTTTGCCACGGGAATCCAGGATCAAGACGTGGATGAGTTGCATGTCCGCAATTTCTTCAACAGCTTGCAGCGCATCAAACAAGAATTTGGCAAAAGCGTCAAAGTCGACTCTTCTTTCCTCAATTGGCTCTCCAAAGAGTCCGAGCATAGGCAGCAACGCCTCAGCAATGGACTGCAGGAAAGAGACCTCGAACAGGATGAATTTGACAAATCATTGATTGACAGCAGACACCTGGTGTTTGGTAATCCTCTGGCCCAACGCATCAAGCGTTTCGACGACGAGCTTTAGGGATATAAAGTAAATCTGTATCGAAATCAGAAATTTCTTATATTAGAGAAGTTGTGTCATTAACAATCGTAAATACATGTCGGAGTGCATCATCGCTAATCCTCTGTCACTTCGTTCAAAAACTGTGCGTCCATTTGAAGCCGTGATTTGAACTTGTTCCACCAATTATCGAAACATTTGATGGGAACATTGCCCTGCGGGTCCAAGAAGCCAGTGAGGTAGTTATGAGCGTGTTTGACAATTCTGGCGGCCAGTTGTTGGGTCACTAAAGGGTACATCTTGGCCAATTCGCCCGGATTTGTCACTGCAGTTGGATTGCCCCGAGCCACAACGAGCGACGTCGAACTTACTGGTGGGTTTTGTTGTGATTTGAGCTCTTGGGCTTTTAGAATAGCCTGATCTATGGGTTCGATTGAAATCCCGATTATGATTTCCGAGATATTTCCCGATGTTGACGCCTCACCAGGGATTTCGTCATCCATATCAATTTCCCCAAGCCCATCGCCCGGCTCTGTTGCTGCGGAAACGTTCAAGTTGGGCATCCTTACTTTAAATATCGCACTAGGCTTCTCAGCACTCAGATATCCAAAAAACTTGAATTCTTCAGCAGGACTTAGCTTAAAGTAAACTGTGCCTGCAAATTCAGCTGGAAAAGTCACATTGGGCAGAATGAAAGTCGTAATGTGTGAATAGGACTTTGGTTTAGTGGAAGAGAGAACAATAGTGTGTTGCAGATTGTTCGAATTAGGGACCTCTGTCGATAGTTGAAGTGGGTTTCCCGATGCAATTGCGGCAAACATAGTGCGACCCCAAATTCGATAATTTAAAGACGAGTTTCAGTCGTCAAACGTTGATGAAGAAGGTGTCTATAGGGCTTAGAGAACCTTCCATCTTCAACGAGATCTTCATGCTGAATAGATGCCTCGAAGGCCCAATTATTTCTAGTAGCTTCGGTAGTGGAAAAAAAGGTCACGTCGTACGTGCTCAGAGCCAACTTAGAGTCAAAGAGCTTCGACTCCAGTAAATTCCTCTCACTGTGTCGATCCACCAGTAGTATTAACCAATTGTAATCGAATTAGAGCTTCTTTGACCCTGGATCTGGTTTCTTTATAGCCCAAAAATTGAGCCAAATACGGTATTTTTAAGCCTGGAATCGACCCGGCGAGGGCAAAACGTGCAACTTCAAACACCGCACCCTTACGGACACCTGTATCGGTTGAAATCCGATCGATATGCGCTGAGATGTCGTCAGATTCAGTTAAACAGTTGTCGAGGCCCTGGAGGATTACGCGGACTTCTTTAAGATTCTGTCGTTGCATAAATTTAGTGACATGCAGATTGTTTTCATACTTGGGTTTCTCGAAAAGGAAATAGAATTCAGAAAACAGGTCATCTATCTTTGTCAAGGAGTTACCAACGAGGACCAGAGCCTCTTTGATCCGGGACTTATCTACTCCGGCCGGCGTCCCGTGCATCTTCGCGTGAAGTTCCGCAACAATGCGGTCTAGTTGTTCGGGATCCTGCAATCTCTCAGATAAGTAATGCTTGTTGAAAAACCACAGCTTCTTTTCATCCACCTTGGCGTTACCTTTGGTCAAATTATTCAGATCAAATAGTTTTACCAGTTCTGAGAGATGAAAACATTCATGGGTCTTTGCTGCTTCCTCACGAGGCGGCGACCATCCAAAAAGTACGCTGAAATTGACCAGGGCCTCAGGCAACACGCCTCGTTCTTTGAGAGCAAGCACGTCCGCGTCGCCACGTCTTTTGCTTAGCTTTTTGTCGCTCAACGACGTCAACAACGGAATATGAATAAATTCAGGCGGCGTCCATCCAAATGCCTGGTACAGGGCAATATGTTTAGGCGTCGAAGGTAGCCACTCTTCACCACGAACCACATGCGTGATCTTCATTAAATGGTCGTCAACTACATTTGCGAAATGGTAGGTGGGGAACAAGTCGGACTTAACAAGAATAGGATCGTCGTAGCGTCTGTCATTGACGTTTATCTGCGGCTGCACATTGACCGCACCGTGCAAGAGATCCTGGAATGGCGGGTATCGATCGGGGGACTTTAATCGTACCGTGAAGGGCACATGTTGCTGCAGCTTTTCCTGAACTTCTGATTCAGAGAGATGCGCACACCGTCTATCGTAGCTAGAAGTGGCTGGTGGACGAAGCCTTTGAGCACTTTCCCGCAGGCCATCTAGTCTTTCTTTCGAGCAAAAGCATCGATATGCATGTCCTGTATTTAGCAGTCTTTCGCTGTAATCACGATATATTTCTGTTCTATCACTTTGCCGAAACGGCCCGTATTGACCTTCATTTACGTGGGGACCTTCATCGTAAGAGATACCACACCACGCGAGTGAGTCATAAATGTTTTGTTCTGCACCAGGGACCAATCTGGTCTGATCTGTATCTTCTAACCGCAGTAGAAACTGACCACCGGTGCTCTTTGCAAGTAAAAAGTTGTATAGAGCTGTCCTTAAAGATCCCAAATGCAGCTTGCCCGTAGGAGATGGTGCAAATCTTGTTCTAGCGGGTTTCTTGGGATGAACATCTCGTACTGGTTTTTTAGACAAGATTGATCTACCGTTAGCCAAAAGACTGTAATTCTGGACTCGAATTCCGTAGTTTTGGCCCGTTGGAAAAATAGCATGAAATATACTAGGAATTGGCCTGCTCCAACGCATGATCCAGTTATCTGGTAAAGCTGTTGGAAGCTTAGATCGCCGTCAAATCGACTAATCACCTCTTGAAGACTAGGCTTTCTCGATGAGATGGTAATAAACGTACGCAGTTCCCCCGAGTCACCTTCTACGTTGAGCCCGTCCGTCTAAAATCAAGAAGGTCCAAGCCTAATGGTCCAGGATGAGTTTGAGGTGCCCTTCGGCTCCCATCCATTCCAAAATTGGATCCTCAAACTATTGCTTGTTTTCTCTTTATATCCGAGGCCTGTTGCATCGCTAATAAGGCGTGTTTCTTTGAAGTAATTCATCTGGACCTTTTTCCGGGATGGGCGAGAACAACGAGCTCTGGAGAGTTCCCACGTAGCATTTAGTTGGTTCGGAGTGATAGCAGAGAGATTTAAAACACATATGCAGTTGTCTGTCCGAACTGGACTTTGTCTGATTCAATGCTGGGGTTCGGCATCCAGGGCCCAGCCATAACGCAGTGAATCCTGACGTTCTCGTGGTAATAGAGATCCGTCAGCAGCTTTGGTGTGATCAAAATATACTGTGAGGTGTTCTCAATACAGGCATTCTGGACGATAGCCTTGTGGACTATACGCTCATTTGTGGAGTCCATACCTTGATTGATCTCGTCTACGATCCTGAAAGGAGCAGACGTGAATTCTTGAAGTGCAACCATGTACAGGACCGTCGAGACAGCCTTCTCTCCACCAGACTGGGTGTGAAAATCAAGCTTTTTGAGCGGAGCACTGTCTCGAAATTTGACCATGATATTCATTTCCCACTCGGTGTACAGCACGGGCTTCTCCAATTGAACAGCTCCAGCGCTTCCAACATTTTTGAAAAGCTCTGAAAAATTTCTCGAGATTCTGCTTACCGTAGTGTCCAGAAAAGGTTCCAATGAGGTGCGCTTTTCTTGCATCTGCAAACGCAAATTGGTCAAGTTGGATTGCATTTGTGGAATGGTATTGTTCAGCACTGCGAGTTCAGTCTCGGTCTGACGTAAAATCTCAAGTACAGACTCGTCTTCGTTCACCATGGCAATCTCTGAGTGCAGTCTGTCAATGACCTGGAGAATAAATGCTAGGTTGAAATTGTCTTCTTCCTGATACTCTTCCGCTAAAGCAGCTAGTTGTTGTTTGTCTTCTTTAGAATATTGTCTGATCGCGGCAAGCCAACTCTGATACTCAGATGTTTCTTTCATCGACGCGTAGCTCCTCTTGGCATCGTCGTATTCTGCTTGCAGATGTCGTTCTTTTTCATTGAAAAATTCGACCACATCATTCATAGACCGTTCACTGTTAAACGCCTCTATATGTGAAATTGTTGCGGTGATTATTTCATCTTGCAAGCCCTGCAAGCTCCGCATATAGTCTGTGATTTCCGCCATGCATGCAGTTTTATTCTCAATGACTTTGACAATGCCATCTTGGCACTCCTTTATTTTAGGAGCTACATCTTTCATGGATTTCTTCTTCAGCGCTTTTAATGTCTCTCGGAGCTGATCTATAATTTGCTTTGTCTTGGTAAACTTCTTTCTTTGCACGTTCAGTTGGCTTGCCTTAACTTTCAAGGAATCGTCCTTCTCTTTCTTCGAGTAAACTTGTTCTTTCAACTGCCCAACACTGGTACTGTTTTGAACCACTTCTCCTTTACAGTGCTTTATTTCGTTCTCGATGGTTTGGATCTGTTCAAGGATTCTCTCTTTATGCTCATCCGATATGACCTTGGATTGATAGAAATTCGTCTCTCTGACAGGATACGAAACAGATGATATCTGCCTGTTACCGTAGCTTGACCTCCTAAACTCATATACGTAGTCACCGGCAAAGATCCTTTTGAATTTTATATCTCCATTTTCGTTAGGATTTGAGAAGTATTCTTGTTGCTGCGGGCTGAGATCCTTTCGCGTAAAAGGAATTGTGTGCAGTCCACTGACTTGGCACAACATCTCCAGAACCCTGCTATCACCAGTTAAAAGATCTGAGAGATAGCCTTCAAAACCCATTCTCTTCAACTCTCCAAGAGTATATGGAGACCTCAGTTCTTGCCCAGTTAGCTGCCTCAAGTTAACACTGTAATTACGAAGTAATTCGTCATTGAACCGGTCATATGCATTTGCATCAACCATTGTGAGGGCAACAGAATTAGCAAGCCCAACACACGTCCAGATGTACTTTGCAAATTCAGGTCGCTTAGCGGAAAGCAGCATTATAGGAGGTCCTAGTACATATCCGGACATATCTGGCTTACTCCGAATATACTGCACAGCTCTCCGGATGTCCTCAAACTTATCCCCTCTACCTTCGAGGACTTTGATCCTGTCATCAGATTTCAGGCCTTGACTTTTGCTGGCCAATGACTTTTGCTGAGATGCAAGCTTGTACTCAAGATTTCTATTCACGGATTCAAGATCTCTTATTTTATCGTGGAGATCAGCTACATCCTGTTGAACAATCTTTCTTTGGTCAAAAAGGGAATTCAGTTCCGCTTCATCGGGTTCATGAAGCATTGCCAGCTGCTCCACATTTTGACGTAATTCTTGATTTTTTTTTTCTAATTCGTCCCGGATTTTACCGGTGCGTCCCTTGTAGTGCTCAATGCTGTTTTTTAACAAAGATATCTCGTGTTGGTAATTGTTCAGCTTTTCAACGTAGCGAGGGTACACCTCCTTTTCCTTTTTAAATTTGTCTTCTAGCTTAAGTTTCCTTTTCATCTTCTCCTCACATTCATCTTTAACGCGATCCAGCGCGTTTTTAAACGGTTTTTTGTCAGATAACAGGGACTTGAGTTGTCGCTTAGAGTTCTCACAGACGTTTTTGTAGTCCCGAATTCTGAGTTTATGATCCTTTACTTTTGCGTAGGGCAAAAGCTTCTCGTGAATAGCCAAATCTCGCTTTTTTTGACGGAAGGTCTCGAGAGTGCGTACAGATGATTCCAATCTTTCACGGTTCGTGCTTAGTTCCGATTGACGGGCTTCCTTTATTTTCAATTCTTTGGTTTCGCTTTTTTCTTCCATTTGCAACGCTTTGAGGTCTTCAAAGATGTTTAGCATGTTTACATCCACAGACCGTACCGTTTCAACCAGAAGCTTATCAGACTTTAGCTTTGAAAATTCTTGGACTCGTTCTTGTGAAAGAAATTGACACAGGTTATCCAATTGAATATTGAGTTTCGACACAAGCCATTTGACAGTAGCTTCTTCCACTTGCTTGTCATTTATAAAGTAGCGAGATTTCTTGTCGCGTTTCATGACACGAGTGATCTTAGCTGTTAGGTTTTCATCCGTGAATTCTTGGAACCACGCTTCTGGTCCAAGCTTGAGCGTGGTCTCGATAGTGCTTGTGTCCTCGCCGTTTTTTATAAAGTCTGCGACTTTCTTGCTGCGTCCGATATACTCGGGTTTCCCGGCTAGACCCAGACACACGCCGCAGACGAACGACGATTTTCCCGATCCATTAGGCCCAATGACCATATTTAGCGATGGAGAAAGGCAAAATTCGCCTACTGCATAAGTGACAAAGTTTTTGAGATGCAACTTCACGATAGAACCTGGTTTGAACAATGATAGGTCCTCCTGCCCGATTTTGAGTTTTTTTGATAGAATGGCATCATGGAGGTTTGCGCCTCGATTTTCGTCGGCTGAATCGTCGTCTCTAGACCTTCGTCTCATTGGAACTGTAGCTACACGAATCAATGGTACACAGAAGCTAATTGAGGAGTACAACACGTCTTCTTAGGTGGTATATGTCCTTGATGTAGGTAGTATACATCTAGGATATATATCAGGAAGCGAGGCCATTGTTAGTACAGAGTGATATAAATCTAATTTACCAACATGTAGCGATAAGCGTAAAGACAAGAATCTAGAGAGTGAAAGATGAGCGGGAATCCAATTGTCTCGGTAAGAACTATAAAGATATGTATGCCGTTGGCCTCATCAAGAAGAACAACTTTAAGAAACTTTCCAAACATAGATCACACTATACGTACCTGTCGCTCTCAATTTTATTAGCTCACGTGACTCCCAAATTTAAAGAATTATTCACCTTTGGAAATAGCTTCTGCTTAACGTTGCTATTGATCGACTTTCTCATGGCTTGACGTTTCCCCGGCATGCTGGAACTATTAATATTTTGTTTTATACTGTCGTCTGAGACCACGTGACAGAAATGTTAACATCACTATATACGCTTCTGTGTATTGGCCTATGTGATAAACACGCTACGGCGATGAGATAGAAGATATCCAAAACCCAAAGGTATCAAGCTAGCTAGCTAGTTCGGTTCAAATCGCTTCCTGTAGCTATAATGTCGCGTTCTACTAGACTCCGCACTAGACCAAGCGTTGCAGAGACGCCCAAAGCTCCCAAAAAGTCCAAGAAAAAAGAAGAACTGGACACTTACGGGCTGGTTGAAGAAAATGGTGGACGACCCTTTCAACTCATAGAGGGACTTCCCTCTTCTGAGTCTTTACCACAGTACAAGGCGACACTCACTCATCCGCTGTCCGTTAGAGACTCGGCAGTTCTGTACAGTTCTATGTTGAGTTCCAGAAGAACATGGATTAGCTCAGAAATGTTCGATATGTTGTGGTCCAAGCAATTTTTGAGCCCCGGAGAGAAAGAGCGTTTGGAGCAAGAAGGTATCGACCCAGAAAGTGTAGATGCCAGTGCCGCTCGCGAAAAAATGCATAAACTTTGCGACTGCGTCATGTTTGGAGGACCACACGCTTTTTCGATTCGCATGTTCATTGTCAAGAATGAGGAAACTGAGAAGAAATGGAACGATGCAATCGAGCAAAAGAAGCGTCGGAAAGAGGACCGTAAAAAACAAGAGCTCGAAGACAAGAAATTGAAGCAAGAGCTCCGAAAACAGCAGCAGTGGGTCAAAAAACAGGATAATGAAGTGCAACCACAAGTTTTGGAGCTCAAATCGTCTGTAGTACCACGAACGCCAACACCAGCACCGGTAACGGCAATGGCAACGGCTGCTAAAACGCAGCCGGATGCTAAGAAACAGTCTGTCAAACGTCGCCAGCGCAAAGAAGAAAACCCTCCCACGGCCAGATCGAGGTCTCACACTCCTCAACAGAGGAAAACACTTCACCAGTCTTCAGAAGATCAAAAAATGATCACGAATTTGAATTTGATGGCCCAGAAAAATGCAGAACTCAACTCGCTGATGGTAATCGTAGCAGGAGGAAGGGCAACCTCCCAACAGGTGGAAGAATTCAAAAAATACATAGAAAAGGCAAGAAAAATGCCCACTCCACCCGGATGGAAGCCCGCAGCACCTTCAACAGCTACGCCTACTACCCAGGATAAAACAGATGCACAACAAACCATGGTACAAGCTAATGTCACAGAACGCAAAATTGCGGATAAAAGCAGGCCCATAGTACCACCCGAACTGCCAACGTCTAGACTACCGGAACGTCCACCAATAAAAACGGAAAAACCAATGAATTCATCACCGGATGGTGAAGCAGCTCCCCGGCAGAAACGGAAATACACAAAACGCAAAAACGTTGACACTCCCCCCGAACCCGAAGATAAGTCTATGCAGTTGACTACATTTCAGCTCAAATACATGGACAATGCCGATATTGTCTTTGAATATGTGGAAAACCCCAATAAAAGGTATAGTTTCCCCAAAGATGCTATCTTAGAGCCGCTAGAGGATGGCGAATCTTATCTGATGTCGTGGATCCTTATACACAATCGTAAAGAAGTCGAAAAGTACAAAGAAAAGAGGAACAAAAAGCTAGCTGCCGCTAAAGGTAACAAAGACCAACAACAAAAATCGGAAGAAGAATATAATGTCTTCGAAGATCCGCAGTGCCCTGAACCGCTTTACACAACTATGACCGTCAAACTTACGAATATTCATAAAAAGTTTCAAACCATCATGATAAATTCCGTTAACCCCGCTGATAAAGTCAGAAAGCAGATGTCTACAATACTGGAACGCGGTACCAGGCTTACCGGTTACAATTTGTGGTTTCAACTGGACGCATATGACGACAGTGCGCTAGCTGAGAATCTGCGAGGGGAATTGAAGGACTATGAAGCAGGTTTCAGGAGTAAGCGGCAACGCAAACAGTTTTAAAAAAGACGTTTTGATAATGCGATAATGAGTTAACAGAAAATGGAAGTTTGGGGAATTGAATGAGCGTCGTTTTGTGAAGATGCATTTTATCATGTTACATAGAGTATTGTAACTGAAGTCCGAATTTTGCAGGTTTAAAGAAACTTGTTTTCTTTGATTCGTCAACCATGTTTGACGGCAGGTCCAGCGGGGCATTTGTGAGTTCGGTTCCAGCAGATATCAGGAATCCCTTGTACCGACCTTCCCAAAGCACTTTCAAGTTTTGATCTCGAAGACTAGTGCTGAGCTTGCAGACACTGGTGAAATTGGAATCAACTAGCGATTTTTCGAATTTTTGAATGTTCGATCGTTCTTTTTGTATTTTGTTCAATGGAGATGCGAAGGTAACGTTTAGATCTTCCATCAGCTTTTGCGAGTTAGAAGAACCTGCCATCAGATGGTAAAACATGTCTTTTGTTTCAGCAAGTTGCGGCTGAGCGCGTCGTGAAGCGGTTTGTGTTGTGCCTTGATTTGGGCCCGCTTCTTTTCCACTTCTCCAAAGTTCGCACCCGAACGACAAGTTGGACTCTATGGAGTACAGGTTGAAGTCGAATTTTGTGCTAATGGTGGCATTGGACGAAGTTTTCACCGAATAAGTGGACGAAACATGGCCAAATAGTGGGTTCCACGAAAACGTCAGTGTCAAGGGTCTGCCTGTATTTGCCGAATGCGTACTGTAACGCATAGTAGTTGAACATGCAGGGCTAGTGTTCAGGAGTCCAAACCAAAACTCAGCGCCCAGTGAGAGCGACGAGTTGTTGTACAGCGATGTATTGAGTTTAGATTGACTGCCCACGAAGTTGTGCAGCATGCGATACCCCACAAGAGCTTCATTGGACGAAAAAACCCACTCCTGGCAGTTCTGGCCCGAATCTCTTTGCCAGTATAGGGTGAGCACGCTTGTGTGCGCCAAACTGCTCAGACATTTGGCTACAAGCTGTGTTTCTGGATTTAATCGTTTAACCACCATGGCTTCCAGCGTTGAGCTTGGATAGTACATGCGTCCGAACCACAGCGACGATGGCTCAAACGCCTTTCTACTCGCTTCATCAAGATACGACGGCTGAATTTGTCGGTAACTTTCTACTGCGTTCTGCAGCAGTACATTTCCAGAGCTGCTAACAGACCGGTCTAGTCCTTTCCCACTGCTGTATAAGTATGCAAGCGACCCGTTGATCACGGAATGGTTCGAAAGCTCAAATGTAGAGAACGTGTGGGCCGTTGAGCTATTAGAAACCTGGCATTTTAGACCCTCTGGGATCTTAAAGTTCAGTACATTTTCAGAGGTGCTGGTGATATTTTCGTAGCAATTGTCGCGGTTCCATCCCGTACATGATTCAAACGCCCGCAAAACCTGTTGCATATAATCAATCATGAAGTTTAACACTGAATTGAGTGGTTAAAGAGCATGCTATTGCTCATGGAATGAGCCAAGGAGAGATGAGCGTGTACTTATCTCATCTGGCATTGAGTTTAATGATCTTGAAATGTCAATCTTGAAGCGATTACGTAATTTAAAGTAATCATGTGACATCAATTTTTATTACGTAATACAAAGCACGTGACTCAAAAGTTACATAATCATAAATTTAAGACATGTGACCAGCTATCACGTGGTGTTTTTAATAATCTCAAAATACTTTACATACCTGTAATAAATTATATATTACGCTCTCTAATCACTTCTTCAAACCGAGATCCAAGTCATCGAGTGCACAACTTAAAGAAACTGTGCTGAAGCAAAGCCAACATTGTCCGTGAGTGTGCTTAACACACTAGCCAAGCGCTGCTCGGACACCACAATGGATTCACCGGAAGAATTGAGTGGTGAAAGTGCCGGAAATGGTTCGAAATTGGATGCGAAAACGGGTTTAAACGTTCCCACGGTCGAGGAGATAAATGTGGAGCAAAAGGGATTCCCAGTGGTCAAAATTGACCATTTTACAGAATTTGCTGACGAAACCCCGCTAAAGAGTCGCAGAAGACCGGTCAAAACTCCGCACAGGAACGGTGGTGGAACGCCGTTGCAGTCTGGTTCGGGCCCAGCACATGGTATGACGACGACGACGACGACTACAACAACAACGCGAAGACGAAGGTCCAGCAGCCGTGGCTCGAGTAAAAACCTCAAAAGCTCTACAGAGATTTCGCCCGCATCGATGATTTTCCGCAATTTGCTGATTCTGGAAGACGACCTGAGGCGCCAGGCCCGGCAGCAAAAAGCGTTAAAATGGCAATTCACGTTGTTTCTGGCTTTGTTGCTGGGGCTTGCAGCGGCCGCTTTTTACGAGCTGTATTTCACGCAGGAACCGGTACGCGGACTTTACAAGGTCGCATTACAGTTTATGCTGATTTTCATAATGGTCACCATCGTACTTTTCCACTTGAGCGGCGAGTATCGTCGTACTATAGTGATTCCACGCAAGTTCTTCACGTCCACAAACAAGGGCATTCGCCAATTCAACGTGAAACTGGTGAAAGTCCGAAGTTCTGTTTCAGACCTGGGGATCGATCTGGTGCGATTGTTGTGTCGCACAGCTGCGTCTGTCAACCTTGCAGTGGTTCGCAAGGCTCTGCCAGCGCGAATGGCAGAGAAAAGTGGCACTTTACGGTTTTGGGACGCGGTTGCGCTACGATCTCAGCCACGAATAGGTGCCGTTGATGTGAAACTGGTGCTCAATCCCCGTGCCTTCAGTGCTGAAGTACGCGAGGGCTGGGAAATTTATAGAGACGAGTTCTGGGCTCGTGAAGGTGCACGAAGACGCAAAGAAGTTAACGAAATGGGCTCATAGACGAGGCGGACTGCCAAACACAATCTTTTTTTTTTTTTTTTTTTT